ATTTCATAGATGACAAACCAACTCAGATTAGCTTATCTAAAGTTTCACGGACAACCAATGTCCTGTGTCCAGGCCAAAATCCTGTTCTTTCCTCTGTGCTATACTGATAGTAAAGGAATCATATTTTAATAACTAAAAAGGACATAACAGTTCTCACATAACATATAGGTTTAATATCATTTTGAAACTTATTTAGTTGAATAAATTCAGTCACATAATTTACTACTCTGATAATTCTATTATGATTTGAAAGTCATCTGATTGTTAAATACAAATACTCTACCCTATGCCTAATTAGTTGACTCTTCTATTCCTAAAGCAATTAAGCGGTTCAGTTCAACACATCAAGCCTCCTGGGCCCTGATGGAGTGGCAGCAACAAATCAAGACAACACAACTATCCCTAGAAGTGGGAATAAACATTTAGATGATTGAAATCAAATCTTCAAGATAAAAACAGCCCTAAGGGCATCCTGAGGGATTTTGTTCTACACTCCCCAGAGGAATGCCTTTCCTGACAACGTTCTGCTAGAGGAAGCTTCCTACCTCTTTGGAGAGAAAAAAAAGACAGGGAGAGTAGGACTATCTGAGGGTCACGGGGGAAGAGTGGTGCATACAGTCTGGGCCCAAGCCGGTCAAGGCAGGGTCAGCTTCCAGGTTGGAGAGCCCCCTATCAAGGCATCAGAGGCCAGTGGGTTAGTGTTCACAAGGGTAGGGGGACAGAAGGGACACAACAGGGCTTATAGAGACCACCTACTCCCCGACATGCTTTGCTAGGTTCAAAGAAGGCAAAATTGGAACAGGACAAGAGAAGAGGGAGCTGCCTTGGGCATTCTGTTGCCACTTTCCAGGTGAGGTCCAAACTCCTCCCAGGGAGGGTGCAGGCCTAATTCTCAGCATCAGCTCCACATACCTAAATACACCCGAGATAATCTAGGGATTGGCACGGACACTTTCCCCCATCCCACCTTTGTCTTTGATGTTCTGGATAGATTTAGAGTTTTAAGAAGTGTTCTCCAGTCACTCAACCAATAAATATTTATTGGTACTTTGTATACGTGAGGCACCATGAGAGGTGTTAAAGGGAATATAAGAAAAACAAACATGGTCCCTGCCTCAAGGAGCTTACAGAGAGAGCAGCAAACAAAGAGTCATTACCTCTTATTTTTCAGGTGACAAATGAGTAATAACTAATAGGTAAAATCTGAGTTGAGAATGAGTTTAGAATCAGGGCATTCAGAATAAAACTCATCACTGCCTGTTCTCCACGCCTCAAAAAAATCCACAAGATTTTGAAAGAAAATATATTTAAATTAGACTTACTCTATCTTCCTTGCCAATCTTTGTACCCTGAAAACAATTTCTAAAATTCACACAAAAATAAAACAAGATTATCTGTAGAGGCGAGCTATATGCAACTTGCATACATTGAGGATATAAAACTGCCTAGATCTACAATCTTCAAGTTTGAAAGTAAAATTATTTCTGCCTCCATAAAGCAATGGTATTTCTAAAGAGAAAAAAAGGTCTGCTTGCAAGCTTTATTTTCTTAAATTGCAATCAATACATATATATTCCAAGGTATTTTACAACAATGAGAACTAAGTAACTTATTGTCCTGCTTGTTTAAAAGGCTGATCAAAAGAATAAAAGGAACTCTGAATGTTCTAGAGTTGAGAGAAAGCCTCATTTCTTCTGACTCTGAGACATACAAGGAAATTGAGCAGGTACTATTTCACTGAAAAATAAAGTGTCCACTTAAATGAACTGATTTTGGCTAAACATGCGTATTTTCAAAATCTGTGAATGGCAGGATCTAATCTTGACCTTGTTCACTCTGAAGGGACACGATTAACATTATTTATGTGCTACACATGCTCTACTTTAATGCTCCATGCATTTTAACATGCATCAAATGCACAAGGCTCCATGGTTTTCCTGCAAGCTATGTATAAAAATACTGCTTTTCCAGTCAGCAAAACGCTGAGATATTTACAACATATGGAAGAATTCCTACACGGCACTTGGGTATTGGTGGGAGTGGGGGTCAGGAGTGTTATCCATAAATGACTGTCAGAAAGACATATGAGACCACTCTGTTCTTTTTCTAAAAATATACAGAGTGAAATAACTCCATCAATAGGACATTCTGAAATATGTGGGCTCAAAGTCTATAGAAAAAGATGAAAATATTTTTTTAAATGATTCTAAAAGCACAGTCAGAATCATTCAAAACAGAACTCATCCTATTAAAATGATTCTATCTCTCCATGAGATTACTACTTGGTCAAATTAGGACATTTCTTACGTGTTTGGTCTTCCTTCTGACTTATGCAGATGACACAGTGTATCTGGGCCTCTCTTAACATAGCTTCCTACAATACAATAAAAAGTTATGTCATCTGACAGTTTGTTTAACCAGGGAACTCCAGGATATTTTGATGTATTTCCTAAAAATCGTTAATTTATATAACAGGAATCAATGATAAACAAACCAGAACTGGAACCATTCACTTTGAGAGACCAAAAGGACCTTAGAGGTCATCTTTCCAGGCCATTTAAAGAGAAAGAAAAACAATGGGTGATGGGTTCAGATCAGAGGTTCATCTTCCCCTATGTTCTCACCCAAGTTATCCAACAGCCAGAACAAACCTTCTGAAGAATTTCTTTTGCTCTAACGTAAGTTAACCTTATTTATTTATAAAAAACTACTGCCTTGATTCCCTGAATATTCATTGGAAGGACTGATGCTGAAGCTAAAGCTCCAATACTCTGGCCACCTATTACACAGAACTGACTCATTGGAAAAGACCGAATGAGCTTCCAATGCTTGGAAAGACTGAGGGCAAAAGAAGAAAAGGGTGACAGAGGATGAGATGGTTGGATGGCATCACCGACTCAAAAGACATGAGCCTGAGCAAATTCCAGGAGTTGGTGAAGGACAGGGAAATCTGGCATGCTGCAGTCCATGCAGTAGCACAGAGTCGGACAGGACGTAGCAATTAAACAACTGCCTTGATTCCCTTCTATAAGGAAAGAGTAGGTGGATGTCAGTATACATTGTTTCAACACTTTATATAAACCACAAGCTGCTTATTTTCTTAACACATGCTTATGCCTAACGTTGAATTTTGCTTTCCATGAATGCATTTTTTAAAATCAAAGTTCTTCAGTTTAGGAATTCTCATTTGTGAATGATGGGCTTCCCTACCATTACCCTTAATTTGATGGTGCTATTATATGAGGTAATCAAAAAGTATCTTTGGTTTGAGATTATAGATTGGGAACCTGATACACACCCTGGATCTTATGAGGGCATGAAAAACTTTGGCACATGAACTAACAATACTAACTCTAGTACTCTAAGTGCTATTTAACAGATGTTTTGCTGAGTGTGTGTGTATGTGAGAGAGAGAGAGAGAGAGAGAGACAGCTGCTCAGTCGTGTCTGACTCTTTGCGACCATGGACTATAGCCCACCAGATTCCTCTGTCCACGGAATTCTGCAGGCAAGAATACTGGAGTGGGTTGCCATTCCCTTCTCCAGGGTATCTTCCCTCCCTGGGGATCAAACCTAGATCGCCTGCACTGCAGACAGATTCTTCATCATCTGAGCCACCAAGCTAGCCCACTGGATTAATTATCTCTTTTAAGAGGCACAAGGAAAAGTCAACATCAAGTAAGCATCTAGACCAGTCTTCCTGTAAAGTGACTGGCTAAAGAACCAGGGACAAGAGAATTTTCTATGAAATATACCCTTCTGATGGGAAAGATACTGCAGATTTTATTCCTTCAACTCTGACCAAAACCACCATTACCTTTAATATAGTATCAGCTAAGGAATAAGAAAGGGCTTAGGGTTTTGTAAGATCTAAGTGAAACTTAGTAATTAATTTTCTGTTAGGCAGGTTTTGGATTCTGTTTTGTTCTGAAAAGTATACAAAATATACTAAAGTTTGTGTTTCAGAAAATATGGGATCTAATTTTAAGAGTTGCATGCCAGTGCTTCTCCACAGAACTCAAGCATCCTCATCATCATAAGCAGTAGTTATAACTGAGAAGTAACAAGTAAAGTGATGCATTATGGTTACAGTGTTTGAGGTCAAGGTGCTACCAGACTTCCAGGTGTTCCTAGTGGAATACTCTGGTGCCAGGACAACCTAGGATCCCTTAAAATCTTAGTGGTGCCTTTGGGAAACCCAACGCTGGTTAAAATACCACTGTGAACCTGTGCTGACCCCAGTGGGTCCATCAATCCATGAAAAACTTCTGCAGCCATCTTGACCTTCTGAGCTAGATTCCTCTATAGTAACTCCGGCAAATCACGTCTCGGTTCTCATTACAAGGGACAAAAGAGACATTTCTGACAATACTGAAACGTGTGTACACACCAAAGAACAGAACACTACAGCAGCATACGAAACACCACAGAACAGTGGATAGTTTCAAGGACACCAGAAGAGGTACTTCTTAGATTCTGTGTAGTATTGTGACTCCAAATTGGAACAGAGAGATTGTCGAGCTCTGGGCAGGGGAAGCCCTTGAAAAATACTGTTGATTTGAAGGAGCAAGGGGCAGAAGGCTTATGCTTGTTTGTTAAGTAGCCAAACAAAAAATAAGCAAAAGCACATTAAATTTATATGTGTATGTCTGTACAGGATTTTTTAAATTATGTAACTTAATACTTCAGGAAAAAAAAAATATGTGTCCCTAAAAATATCATGATCCAATTGTGTGGGGTATTTTAATTTTACTAGTTTTCCAAAGGTCCAAAGTTTCTATAACAATAAATTTCTCCACCTTCCTTACAATCAATAATTAAGATTGGTTCATCTCTTTGGATTTACATCTACTTTGCCTAATACACTTTTGTTTCTCTGCATCCCTTTACTACCTCCCCCTCAAACAAAATCAAGTTTTATTAAAGTATTTTAACTGCAAATCCACTAGATTCCAGATCTGACAAATATTTCAATTCATGAGACACCTATAGCACATTATCTATATTTGTACACTTTATTTAAAAACAAATAATACACTTAGAGCCACCAAAAAAGGATATCTTAATTAGCTTATCCATATCCTGAATTTACAAGAGAAACTTCTTGCACCACAAAATTTAGCATTTGGATTAATTTACATTAATTGATATTATACTTAAATTTTAAAATACCTGAAGATCAAACAATCTGGCTCAGGGCTCACCAGTTAGAAGGGAGAAGGGTGTGGAGAAAAGGAGCTGTTTAGGAATCTGAACTGATGCCCTGAGGTCAGCTCTAGTAAACTGAACTTGAGAAACATAAAACAAGCAGTGGATTACAGGATTACAAAGAAGTGGTTCTTCCTAAAAACAAAAAACAGGTGTTAGATTATAGAGTTGGGATAGGTATAAGGGATATCTCTTAATCTGGATTGGAAAAAAGTTACCAGGAGAAGGGGGTTGCACTTGTTTCTCACAGGAGGTAAATTTCAGCCAAACAATGAGAACAAAGTGGGGAGGGTGGAACGCCGTAGACTGAAGGCTTTCTGAGTGCTGATAATACCAAATCTAGCAGCTCTCTACAAGCCAGCTAAAATATCATCCTCTGGGAAATTTTCAGAGAGGAGCTAAGACCAACCAGGGAAAAATCATTCTACATTAACAAGGCACTCACTGGTTCACAGCCTGCTAAAAACCCAGGCAGACATTAGAGTTAACCTGAAATAAAATGAACTTTCTAATTTGCATCAGAGGGATGACAGGCATGTGGTCCCAGTTAAATCAAATCTAAAGCTTGACTAGCTAAGATCCAGAAAATTCTGACCCTTAAGCACCACTTCAGGAATACTGCTAGAATAAGTAAGTGGGATCTAGAGATCTGTGTTTGGCTTTATATTTGCTTTTTTTTTGGATTAAAAAAACAATGCAGTCTGTTTGTGAACAGACTTTGTGAAGCTGGTGTCCCTAGTAATGACACTGAGATCCAGCTGGCTGATGGATATACGGCCAATTAAAAAACTTTCAGGAGCAAAAGTCAAATGATTCAAATCATCTACAAAGGACCTGACCCTTGTTTTTAAACACAGATATGTTAGTTTTCTGGACCTTCCTCTAAAATGAATTTAAGGAATTGATACATTTCATAAAAATATACATATAATTTCTGTCAGCTACTGCTTTTGTAACCTGAATCCCAGTGTTAAACAAAATACTGCAATTATAGAAATAACTAAACAAATAACACAGTAAGAGAGACAACTTCTGTGTAAATAAAATGAATGATTATGTACTGAATAGCCTTGAAACAGCTTTCAAAGAAAAAAGTAAGCTGAAGAAAATTATACTTGGAGCTCTTTTCTCATGTAAATCAGTAACAACTTGGCTCTTGGTTGAAAACATCACATAGACATATACTAACCAGAGATTATCTCCAGCTCACTATCAACATGGATGACAAATTTTAAGCAGTTCTTTCAAAAGAAAATCAAAATTAATTCAAAGCCTTTCAATCTGATTTGTGACATCTTTGTTCAATATAACTTAAATGACATAGCCTGAGAAAAGCACCAACACAGATTTTTTAAATTGCATCCAACCATTATTTTCGATGTCATGAAGATTTACTTGAGTCAAAAATGGCAGCAATGACAAAGAGGTAGATATGAAAGATGCCATTTAAATACTATTCTTAGGTGGAATTTTAACTAGTTCAGGTGTTTAATTTAAAAACAATTTTTACTAGCTAAATAGTCATCATATAAGAATTTCATGACATGCTCTTGTGTAAAGGGGAAATACATGAACTACTAAAAAAAAAATGAGCCTTTAAAAATTACATTTACTTAGCTAACATTAATGAGATCCTGTAATTTTGATGAATCAGTAATTTCTCCTTTTACCTGAACTTGATTTATAATGAAATAATAATTATTTTATTCTCTACTGAAATTTCTAGGAATTCACATTCATAATTCTTGGAAAGTACTTATGGTGCTCAGAAGAGCAAGAAGACAGCGCATGAAATGTCCCCTGAAGTCCTAAAAGTTTTACAGACACATTAAAAAGACACTGATGGTCACAAATCAGGACCTTCATAGATGGGCACTCTAACAACATATCACACACACACACACACACACACACACACACACTCTCACACCTCTTCCCCACAAAACAACTCAATCCTCATCCTCACTGTAAGGCTGAATTTGTATTTTTTTTTTTTAAAGGCACCTCTCTTTCTCTAGCTATTGCCTTCTTGATGGTATCGGTTTTGTCAAAAATCCTGAATGCTCAATGGAAATAGTTCAGTACTGAGAATGGAACATTTTTCAATTCACATTTGAATAGCCAGGTTTTCTTACATTTAGATTTTAATAAACTAGAATGACAGTCTTTAAAACAAGCATGCTAGCCTATAATGAATATCATATATACAGTAATTTAAACATTTAGAACTATATATTATACTGCAAAAGCAAATAGCACAACACTCATCATACTCGTCATTACCTGCTGTGGACACTACCTCCAAAAATGAAAATACAAAACAGTAAAATGCACCTATGGTTTTATATATATATATATATAATATATATAGTCTATATATATATTATATATATCCCCACAATATATATAATATATATTTATAAAATATACATACATTTTAGACATTTTCAAATAAATCTTCATCATTATCTCCAAAAGAAACTTATAGCAAGAACACTGAAGGAATGAAACTCAGATAAACAAAAAATTTCTCACAAAGTTCATTATCAGTGATACAGCTCAATTTCCCCTCTTTTAGTCATAACTAAAATGATTATAAAAGCTAAATACTTTGCATAACTAATTATTCTGTTTAATGGCAAAAATTGCTAAACGTGTTCAATAGAAAAATACTGAAGGTCATTATATCACTTATGTTAAATATCTGTCTATGGTTTGAGTAGCAAATGAGCTCCATATGACAGATGAGTTTCGAGAAGGGTGCTGCAAGCTCCCAGGGATGTACCCACAGCATATGAAAATAAGGCAGGGACCCACATCATCGGCTGATTTTCATACTCTTCCAATACATTTCATCCAAAATATTTACAAATAAAGCACTATGAAAGCATTTCAATCATTGTTCAAATCTGGGATTTGTTCATTTTGTCAATTTTCACTGAAGTTTTGATAGGCTGAGGGAAAAGTCAGACAAACACACACACATATAGATGCTTCTATCTGGCTGGAAGACAGCTTTGGCTCATTTCTAGGCTGAGATCCTAACAGTGCTAGTGGAGAAGAAATCCCTGTTTCTGGGTACCACCTCCAAGAGTACACACAGCACTGGCTTTCTAAGGAACTTTCAACAGTTCCATCATTTGCGCTACAGTCTACATATCTCATGGCTGTTTTCCACTTACTAATAGAAAAATTTCAACCATGAGACCTGAAATGCAGGTGAAGAGAGTGTCTTAGTTTTGAGAATTCCAGTTGACAGAAGTAAAGCAGGCACTGAACACCCTGGAAGGTAATTAAAGCAATAATTGGTAGAACAATAGCTTGTAATCATCCATCACAAACAAGCCGATTAAGAGCACCTGACTGAAATTTTCCAGTACCCTTCTACAAATGTTAGGTCAGTGATATCATTTATTTACTTTGTGAAGAAGCCAAAAAGGAATCACTAAACACAACATGGAATTCTATACCCGCACAGGAATATAAACATTTACCTGGTAGCTCATGTCCAGGTCAATTCACTTGAATATACAAAGCAGTCCCTTGAGCCCACTGTTAAGCACATATGAAATGACAAGGTAGCTGTGTCAAAATAAAGTGTATCTGTGTATCAACCAGGAAAATTTAACAGAGGTCCTTAAAGAAAACCTGCCTGTATACAGCTGAATTCTCAAGGCAGATAAGCAGAAATTTTAAAGAAAAATTGTCAATTAATATCCACACTATCATGTTAATACTTCTTCAGGGAGTAGATGTAGGTATAAGAAGTGCCATTGCTATGATAATGGAATATGTGGGCATAGGAATGTAGAAATTACATCTGAGAGCGTATTAAAAGTACATTTTGCTGAAAATTTGGGAATTAGTAACATTTCTGACTTCCAGATTGGTCTCTGCCATATTGGGCAAATAAGAAAGTGCATGAGGAAGAGGGGAGACAGCTGCAGGGATAAGGTCTACATACCATGTCCAGACAGTGGGGTCATGTAAATCCCAAGAGCTGACCGTATGTGAGTCATTGGTAAGGTGAGCTCAGAGAACCCTGGGCCTTCAAGACATGGTTTTCCCCAGAAACAATATTGACTCACTGCCCATTAAAACATGCTATGTATTCCAATGAAACATTGGAGGTGGGGTAAGGCAAGGGAAAGAGAGAGAGAACCCTCTAGCCAATATTATACACCAAACTATTCCATCCAGATTTCCAAGAGGTTTTACTTCTTGGAGATATTAATAACGGAACTTCTGGGGCACAAACATTTGCTTTATTTAGTAATTCTGCAAAGGCAGCTGCCTGAGGGTAACCATACCCTTGGACTATTAAAACATAATAATTATGAACTATTTTTGGTAGGTGTCAGATAATTTTAATATCAGAGACAAAGAAGAAAGAAATCATGTGAAGCATGGTTATGTGGGTTCTGGTGAGTAGTTGCAAGTAACTTCCAGGTTTTCAATCACTAAAAGGTATGATTTCATCAATATGAAATAATCACTCTGATACTATAAATATCACATGAATAAAGTGAAATTTAAAATTAACAGAAATCATTATAAAGATACGTCCTGCTTGCCATTAAAAATAAACAGAATCTTAAACCTGAATAAGTTAAATTCTTTAGTAAAAGCAGACTCATATCAACTATTCTTCATAATGGTGAGTATTTTTGACAGCTAAACTTTAGAATGGTACCAAATCTATTTTCAAAAATGTTAATACAATATAGAAATCTGCTTACAAACTAAATATTTGTTTAGCATTTCTGAATAATAATATATTTAACATATTATTGCATTTTTTTCCCTCTAATAAGTAAAATGTTTTGCCAGGTGCTTTATGAGAACAGTTGAAAGGAGAGCTAAATTAAAAACTCATTTTAACACTGTCTGGTCATTATGCACATAGGGGTTAGTACAGTAGATGTGATAAAGATTACTGTTTTAACTATCTAACATGTTTAACAAGATTTCTCAGGGGAGAACTAGGTTTAAATTGCCATTCTTCCTCTACTCATTCCCAGGAATCAAGCTTTTCAATTATCCCTTATAATATGCCCTATTAACTCAATAGGGACAAGCTAAACCTATGTTTGTTCTTCGCTAAGGCCTGCCTAGCGAATTAGAACAACCTCAGAAATAAAAGCTCCTGTTTTGGGAAAATTTTTAAAGTTTTCAGGCTCACAGATTCAGCTGAGCTTGCAGCAACCTGAACAAACCTTAGTTTTAGAAAACAGTGTACGAATTGCAAAACTATACTTTAACAAATGTTCTCTGTGCTCCTTCAGCAGAACATAAGGGCTGGATGGGTTGACTCTTGCCCTGGTCTTCTGTATCTCTTTTGTGCAGTTGATTACTTATAAACAGCTAGAAGGTGAAGATGATGCATTGTGTCATACAAAGACTTTAGCCAGTGCATCCGCCCCAGCACTGGCTATATAGCATTTGGATGGGTGGAAAGCTACATCATGAATTGATTCTTCAAACTTTTTCCGATGAGCCGTGAACTCTTGGATACACGTCTTACTTTCTAGGTTCCATAAACGTATTGAACAGTCATGACCTATATTAAAAGAAAAGAAATTAAGAGAAAAATTACATTAAATGTGAAAACAGTAAGAATAAATAAATAAATCAAAGCTGTACTTACTGCCAGACATTAAGTACAGGCCATTTGGATCAACTGCTAAACTTGTAACAGCTTCTAGGTGGGCTACCATCGAGTGGATCAGTTTGCCTTTGGAAAAAGAGATTGTTACTCTTTAGTAATAGTTTTTTTCATCCAGAATACCAGTCAGCTACCACGCTGTACTGGCTCCACCAGCCACCCCTCTCTGCATCAAAGACTTTCCCAACTGCTAAAACAATGCATGTCTCCCTCCTTGCTCTAGCCATGGTGATGATGAGAAACAAAAGCTCAACTTTCATATTACATTTTTGTCTTTCACAATATGGAAGTCAGTAATTTGTACACAAATATTCCCTTAAGCCATGTTCATTAACTAAAACTCAGACATTATTAATCACTAACTTTGCATCCTTAAGCTACAAGCAAATTATGGGTTGTGGAAAGAGAAGAAGAGATTGCGACAAAGACAAAGGAACAGAAAATCTGGCCACAGTTTTGGTGGAAATGGTATATGGAAAGATATTAAAAATACTAAATTATTCATCAATTGCAGCTAAACAAACTTAACAAAAGTTGACAGCAGATTCTCAAGTAAATATGGCTACTTTTCTCCCAATCAGCTCTTCATGCATTTCCTTTAGACTAGTGAAAAATAACCTAATAAAAATTGGGAAAGCTTCCATACCCCAATGCAAATCCATCAGGACCAAATAATCAGTATTATAAAATAAAAATAATTAGTCCATGGAAAAACAAATCAAATGACTCAGGGGTTTTCCATCTGTAACACTAAGGATCTTAAAAAATTAAACAATTTTAAACAAAATATAATGATCATATGCCCATACTTCCAACATGTTTCTACTTTTCCACAATATATTAACATTTTATTGCTGGTATATATCTGAATAAATTTTTCATTATGTTCTGAGTAATAACCTTAGTCTAGGGCCAAAATATAGCACCTATTTACTATTAAATAAACTAAGATGATCCCATATGCGATCATGAACACTGATTCTTTGCAGAGTTAGATGAAGTAAAAACAAATGATCTGGGAGAGAATCTGTGTTTCAGTGCCTATTCCCTGACCATAAAGCCACCAACAGACACCAAAATTAGTTATGATTTTTTTTCAATAATAATCAATTTAAATATATTCTTACCTGTATTGTTATCATAGAATTTGATGTGCCTGTCTTCATGAGCAGTGATGCTGATGGGAAGAGTGGGGTGACTGATGACTCTATTTATTTGGCAGGAAGAGTTGGCTGCTAAAAAGAAAAAATTAAAGAGCAACACAAATTTTTCAAAGCTACCATTTCTTCACACAAAAAAGAACTGAACATAAGCGCCTGGAAAAGTAGATGATGGACTTTTAATTTGTCTTTAGTTCATTTATTCTGCAACTGTGTTCGTAACTGTGATGTTAGGAAATGAGACTCGTCTGAGAAACACTCTACTGACAAATCTAGAAGTAGTTGGAAATTAGAATTTCCTTTCCACCACCTGCTCTGTAGGGATGCCACTGAGAAATTAGCCCAGAGCCATGGGCATCTCTCATTTGACAGTGGTCTATGATACTTCTGCCACTTTCAGAAAATTCCATCATTATTTCATGTGGATAATTTCCAAATTTAAATCTCATCTTTGTCTAGACACAGAGCTCTTTATCACATGGTCATTATCAAAAGATAAACATGACAAAGGGAGATTCTTAACTCTTCAGTCTTCTCTTTCTCATCAAAATAGAAATGGTCGTCAATTGGTCATCAATCTACCATGTATGGAATCTGAAAACAGCATCCTAACAGTACTCTTTGTACACTATTTAATAGTTTTCAAAGAGATCTTAATTATACATGCACACTGAGACGGGCGGGCCAATTGTCATTATGTCCTTAACCTAGTGAATGAACTGAGGTGCATAAAACAGCTGTTATAGCCCCCAAAATCATGGTAACAAAGCCAGTACCTATATCAATGCCTACTCTACCCAAACTAGATGACTCATGCAAATCAGGGAACTGTTTAAAAAGGTACCTACACTATCACAAGTTCCTCCTGAAAGTCTTTAATCAAATGGAAATCAATTATGAAAAGCTTATGTTTAGTGATTTTTGTTACCATACTTTTGATAAGGAAAAGTCTACAAAAAGATAACACTAATTTAAGATACATCAAAGTTAAAATAATTATTATATTAATATCAGGGTATTGGAAGAAGGAATGTCCTTACAGAGTATATATTGGGGCAACCAGCAAATTTGAGTGCAAATAATAACTCATACAATAGCATTTTGTCATTGTAAATTCCTTGATTTTGATAATGTAATATGCTGCCAGAGAATGCCCTTGTTCTTAGGAATTACATACCAAAGGACCTAGGGGTATAGGGATATACTGTCTCTTAAGTGGCTCAGAATTTTAAAGTACACACACATGCACAGAATGACAAAGTAAGTGTGACTAACATGGCAAAAGGTTAAAAACTAGTGAATCTGGGTGAAGTGTGACCAGAAGTTCTTATACCATTTTTGAAACTTTTCTTTAAACTTAAAACTTCAAAAATAAAGTGTTCTTAAATTTTTTTAAATTTCAGAATAAGTATCATGAAGTTATACTCATAACAGAAAATACAACTATGTACAGTTAAAAATAGCTCCAATATTAGTCAACTCTACCGGATTTTCATATGGTACCTAGAAACATGACCTCTTAAAAGCTGAAAACAGTCTTTTTTCCAATGCTGACAGCAGGTGGCCACCCAGTCTGTTATCTATGTGCACAATAAAAGTCACCTGACCATGTGGAATGAACTCTGGGTTGGCTACACTCATTTTAAATGGTCCTAGAAAAAGAATTTAGATTCAAAATTCATACTATGGATGCCTTTTCCACCAGAAATAACACACCATTGTGCAATATCCTCTGTAAGGTCTATCAGGAGAATAACAACAACAACAAAAATACTTTAAGTAAAACAGCCCATATATCTTGAGAGAGAGGTTTCTGAGAAGAGCTTCAATTACTTTGAGATCTGGAAAATGAGTATGATAGAAATTAGGCAAAAGAAAGTTCTTATTTAATAATACTTTTTAAGGAAGTTTCTCCACTTGATGGTAAGTCAGATAAGTAAAAGTCAGCAAACGCAAAGAACACTAGAAATAAAGACCTACCAGCCATTATTTGAACAATGAACCTACAACAATCCTCCAAATATTTATTTATATTCAGCTTGCGACTGAGAAATGGATTCACAAATACTCAATTACCTCTTTCAACTACCTTCGACTTAATCAAGCCCGATCATCACTGGCAAGAAGGCAGGTAATTTATTCAGATTCTAAGAACAAACATCTTTCATCCTTCTAAATTATACAAAATTCACTTTTAGCTTAAAACATATTTGGTGTGAACTTCAATTTAAAAAACACCTACTAAATTCCATAATACAATAACACAGTCAAACATAAACAGCTAAGGGGCTACAGTACTCACAGTAGAGAACAATAAGTGTGTTTCACATAACTCTAAAGTAATCAAATTGGTAATTTAGGAAATGTCAGGATGTATCATCATAATCTAAGAGTTATCACTTATTCCATGAATGCTGCCTTTTTTCAAAACGTTCTTGGGAGTCTTCTTCAGAAAACGCTTCTAGTTTCACTCCAATCCCAAAGAAAGGCAATGCCAAAGAATGTTCAAACTATCACACAATTGTACTCATCTCACACACTAGCAAAATAATGCTCTAAATTCTCCAATCTAGGCTTCAAATGTACGTGAACCAAGAACTTCCAGATGTTCAAGCTGGATTTAGAAAAGGCAGAGGAACCAGAGATCAAACAATCAAATGCTGGATCATAGAAAAAGCAAGAGAGTTCCAGAAAAACATCTACTTCTGCTTTATTAACCATGCTAAAGGCTTTGACTGTGTGGATCACAACAAACTGTAGAAAATTCTTAAAGAGATGGGAATACCAGACCACCTTACCTGCCGCCTGAGAAATCTGTATGCAGGTCAAGAAGCAACAGTTAGAACTGGACATGGAACAATGGACTGGTTGGAAATTGGGAAAGGAATATGTCAAGACAATATATTGTCACCCTGCTTATTTAACTTATATGCAGAGTACATCGTGCAAAATGCTGGGCTGGATGAAGCACAAGCTGGAATCAGGATTGCTGGGAGAAATAACAATAACCACAGAGATGCAGATGACACCACCCTCAGGGAAGAAAGCGAAGAGGAACTAAAGAGTCCCTTGATGAAAGTGAAAGAAGAGAGTGAAAAAGTTGGCTTAAAACTCAACATTCAGAAAACGAAGATCATGGCATCTGGTCCCATCACATCATGGCAAATAGATGGGGCAACAGTGGAAACAGTGGCTGACTTTATTTTTCTGGACTCCAAAATCACTGCAGATGGTGACTACAGCCATGAAATTAAAAGATGCTTGGTCCTTGGAAGAAAAGCTATGACCAACCTAGACAGCATATTAAAAAGCAGAGACGTTACTTTGCCAACAAAAGTCCGTCTAGTCAAAGCTATGGTTTTTCCAGTAATCATGTATGAGTGTGAGAGTTGGACCATAAAGAAAGCTGAGTGCCAAAGAATTGATGCTTTTGAATTGTGGTGTTGGAGAAGACTCTTGTGAGTCCCTTGGACTGCAAGGATATCAAACCAGTCAATCCTAAAGGAAATCAGCCCTGAATCTTCACTGGAAGGAATGATACTGAAGCTGAAGCTCCAATACTTTGGCCACCTGATGGGAAGAACTGACTCACTGGAAAAGACCCTAATGCTGGGAAAGACTAAAGGTAGTAAGAGAAGGGGACACAGAGGATGAGATGGTTGGATGGTATCACTGACTTGATGGACATTAGTTTGAGCAAGTGGTGATGGACACGAAAGCCTGGCATGCTACAGTTCATGGGGTTGAAAAGAGTCAGGTATGACTGAGTGACTGAACTGAACTGATCAGGCAAAAAAGTCAAATGACTTTACAGTTAAACATCTTGGGGGGGAAATGGAATTTCCTAGCTCAGTTTATTCATCTAACTCACTGGACTTGAAAGTGGGAAAAAAGTGAAAGTGAAAGTGTTAGGTCTTTCAGTCCTGTCCTACTCTTTTTGACGTCATGGACTATAGCCTGCCAGGCTCCTGTGTCCATTGAATTCTCCAGGCAAGAATAACAGAGTGGGTTGCCATTTCCTTCTCCAGGAGATCTTCCCAGCTCAGGGATCAAACCTGGTCTCCTGCACTGAAGGCAGATTCTTTATCTGAGCCACCAGGGAAACCCTAGACTTGAGATCTTATTAATTTGTAGCAGTCATTAAAATCAACATTTATGCTGAGAACATTCAAAGAATTGATGATAATCTCTGAAGGAAATTTTTTAAATGTTTAAAACCTTCTTAACTTCATACTGGTTTTTCATCTTACTATAGTAGCTCTAAGTCATATATCTAAGCACTATTTTAAGTTTACTTAAAGTCTAAAATATATTTCTTGGCAAAAAGAAAAAATTTATTTTCCTATTCCATAAACTCAGTTTTTACTTTTTTGTCTCTTTTACATCCAAATAGTTAAAAGCTCCATTCAAACCTACCTCCCTAAATAATTCTTAAAGGATACCAGCAGAAAACAAAGAACAACAGATTCGAAAGATAAAATGAAGAAAGCCAAAATGGAATGAAGGAATTTTTTGAGAGAAAAAGATAAAAGGGAGAGGAGACAGTCACATATATTCACGCACATGAGCACACTCATTATGGTAACCATTTTTAAAGCTAGTTCTCAGATTAAAACAACACTGTACGTGTATGTAGTTTTATCAACTGCAGCCTAAACTTACTGTTTGTTTGAAGCCTAAAGGCAGAAAATAAAGGTTATAAAAGGCAAAACTCCAAAGGATTCTGCATTATCTTCTTCACAATCTGAGTAATTATTTCCTGGTTTCCTGTATTCAATAAGAAGATTCAGATCTGGGATTCTGAGAGGCACAACTTGATCTGTTTTCTAATCAGTACTGAACGGTGTCATTTATGAAAAGAAGCTGATTTTAAAGATAAAATTATGAGGAGGGAAGGGCAATACAGGAGTAGGGAAGTACAAGGTACAAACTATTAGGTATAAAATAAGCTACAAGGTTATACTGTATAACACGAGGAATACAATCAATATTTTATAATTATAAGTGGAGAATAACTTTTAAAAATTGTGAATCACTATACTGTATACCTGTAACATATAATATTGTATAGGAACTATAATTAAAAATATAACTATGAAAAATACATTTCATGGAGAAGGAAATGGCAACCCACTCCAGTATTCTTGCCTGGGAAATTCCATGGGCGGAGGGCTGGCGGACTACAGTCCATGGGGTCACAAGAGTCCAACACGACTTAGCTACTAAATAACAAGGTATTTCTTCCCCGAATTCCTGCTATTAATCACTCATAATTAAACAGTTCCTCGTGTGCGTTAGAAGTAGTTGGAAAAGCCTTGACCATTTTCCTACATGAGATATATCTGAATAATTAATGGAGAGCCGTTTCAGGAATAGTTAACTTTTCGTTAGAACACGAAAAACCTGTTGGGTGTTTTGAAATAAGATATTTATTTGTAAATGATTATTTTAATATTCAGTATATATAGCCTTGAAAAATAATAGCAGTGAAATCTCTCAGGGTTTCATTGTATAAACCTAATCAGAACTTGTGTTTGTCAGAATTCCACAAAATTTTTAGTGTGTTGATTGGATTTAACTAACGTGCTTATTTAGAATTCTAGTAGCTTTGGCAGGGTTCCAGCTCTGAAGCAGAAAGTGTATTTTTACCCCCAATTTGTGCTATTTAAGAACTGTCTTGAAGTAGCATAACTAGAGATTTGAAAACAATCATTGTCACCTTCACATCTGTGTCTGCTGTACCTCTTTGAACAATCTGGACTCTTGACACTTGGTAAATCTCTGGGGATGGTTACCTGATGGCATTTGGTGCTATGTAAACCAAGGGCATTTTGGGGGTGGCATTTCACTTGTTAACTTCCTTTACTGAGGTTGAATTAACACATTCAACCATGATGCAAAGTAAAACTCACATATAGACATGAAATTAAATATTACATGAAAGTTAAAGCATACTTTATAAATTATTGAGTTTTATCTGTGTACAGTTATTTTTAAATAAATATTTAATTTTGTTTTTTAAAAAAAAGAAAAATACATTTATTTTATACAGGCATTGCATATAATATTTTGCTGTGCTTTGCAAATATCATGCTTTTTAACAAGTTGAAGGTCTGTGGCAACTCTGTATTTAGCAAGTCTATTGGTTCCATTTTTTCAATAGAAATTTGTTCACTTTGTGTCTATGTCACATTCTGGTAATTCTTACAGTATTTCAAACTTTTATATCTATTATTATTAACAATAATATTAATTGTTATTATTTGTTACAGTGATATGTGGTTTCTAATCCTTGATATTACTAATATAATTGTTTTGGGGTGCTATGAACTGCACCCATATAAGATGGTGAACTTGATAAATACTGGTCGGTTGCTCCACCGACCAGCTGTAAAACCCCATCTCTCTCCCTCTCCGGGGAGCCTTCCTAAGTCTCTGAAGCACAAAAATATTGAAATTAGACCAATCAATAACCCTACAATGACCAAGTGTTCAAATGAAGGAAGATTTATACACACTTCTCACTTTAAATCAAAAGCCAGAAATGGTTAAGCTTAGTGAGGAAGACGGGTGGAAAAGATAGGCCGAAAGCTAGGTCTTTAGCTCCAAACAGTTAGCCAAGTTGTGACTGCAAAGGAAAAAGTTCTTCAAGAAAATTAAAAATGCTACTCCAGTGAAAACATAGATGATAAGAATGCAAAACAATGTGGAGAAAGTTTTAGTGGTCTGGATAAAAGATCAAACCAGCCACAACATTTCCTTAAGCCAAAGCCTAATCTACAGCAAGGTCCTAACTCTCTTTAATTCTACAGAGACTGAAAGAGGTGAGAAGCTGCATAAGAGAAGTTTGAAGCTAGCAGAAGTGGGTTCATGAAGTTTAACGAAAGAAGCTGGCTCATATAGAACAGACTTTTGGACTCTGTGGGAGAAGGCGAGGGTGGGATGATCTGAGAGAATAGCATTGAAACATGTATATTATCAAGTGTGAAACAGATCGCCAGCCCAGGTTGGATGCATGAGACAAGTGCTCAGGGCTGGTGCACTGGGAAGACCCATAGGGAAGGGATAGGGAGGGAGGTGGGAGAGGGGATCAGGATGGGGAACACATGTAAATTCATGGCTGATTCATGTCAATGTATGGCAAAAACCACTACAATATTGTAAAGTAATTAGCCTCCAACTAATAAAAATAAATGGAAAGAAAAAAAAAAAAAAGAAGCTGTCTCTATCACATAAAAGTGTAAAGTGAAGTAGCAAGTGCTGATATGGAAGCTGCAGCAATTTATCCAGATCTAGCTGAGATAATGAATAAAGGTGGCTACACTAAATAACAGATCAATGTAGACAAAACAGCCTTCAATTGGAAGAAATTGCCACCTAGGACTTTCATAGCTAGAGGGAAGTCAATACCTAGCTTCAAAGTCTCAACAGGCTGGCTCTCTTGTTAGGGGTTAATGTAGCTGGTGACTTAACAGTGAAGCCAATGCTCATTTAACATTCTGAAAACTCCACGGTCCTTAAGAATTATAATAATCTACTCTGCCTTTGCTTTATAAAGGGAACAACAAAGCCTGGATGACAGCATATATGCTTACAACATGGTTTACTGAATATTTTAAGCCTACTCTTGAGAACTACTGCTCAGAAAAGAAGATTCCTTTCAAAATATTATCGTTCACTGACAATGTCACCCAAGAGCTCTGATAGAGACGTACAAGATTCATGCTTTTTCATGCCTCATAACAAAACGTTCATTCTACAGCCCATGTATCAAGAAGTGATTTCTACCTTCAAGTCTCATTATTTAAGGAATCCATTTCTTGAGGCTACAGCTGCCATAGATAGTGATTTCTCTGATGGATCTGAGCAAAGTCAACTGAAAACCTTCTGGAAAGGATTTACAATTCTAGATGCCATTAAAAGTATTTGTGATTCATGAGAAGCAGTCAAAATGTCAACAAGAACAGGAGTTTGGAAAATGTTAGTTCCAACCCTCATGGATGACTATGAGGGGTTCAAGACTTCAGTGAAGGAAGTTTTGAATATGGTGGAAATAGCAAGAGAACTAGAATTAGAAGTGAAGCCTGATCATGTGACTGAATTGCTGCAATCTCATGATAAAACCCATGATGGATCAGGAAACGCTTCTTATGGATGAGCAAAGAAAGTAGTTTCTTGAGAAGGAATGTATTCTTGGGGAGGATGCTATGAAGACTGTTGAAATGACAACAGAGATCACATAATTATATAAATCTTGTTGATCAAGCAGTGGCAGGGTTTGAAAAGACTGACTCCCACTCTGAAAGGAGTTCTACTGTGAGTAGAATGCTATCAAACATCCATGCATGCTATAGAGAAGTTGTTCGTGAAAGGAAGAGTCAATTGATGCAGCAAACTTCACTGTTGTCTTATTTAAGAAACTGCCACAGTCACCCCAACCACTCTGATCAGTCAGCCATAAGCATCGTGGTGAGACCCTCCCCCAGGCAAAACTGAAGGCTCAGATGATAGTTAGCATTTGTCAGCAACAAAATATTTTTAATTTAAGGTATGTGCACACTTAACACTCTCTAGTATAGTGTAAACATAACTTTAATATGCACTGGAAAAACAAAAGCTTTATGTGACTAACTCTATTGTGATATGTGCTTTATTTCGCAGGTCTGAAACTGAACCTACAGTAACTCCAAGATATGCCTGTATTTAGAATAAATGTTATTTTCTTCAAATAGAACTGAAAACTAAACAATTGGTATAAAATTAAACTTGACTTCTCTTTAGAATAGATCAAATGCTACTTCAACCAGTGAACTTATAAATGTGAATAAACTTAACCTAAAGACTTAAAATCAACTATAAATCATTATATCCTTCACATATAACTGTGATCTTGAGGCAGAACACTTTATAATGACAAGTATTTTTCATTGTTGACTCTAGTAATTCTAATTTTGATAACACTAAAAAATTGATCCACATACATACTACTTTAAATTGGCATACATACTTGAATCTAGGTTGGATTCTAAAGTGAGAATGCGTTGCTGTGTTTCCATGTTAAAGATGCTTGTGTATCCCTTGCTGAATGATGCTACCATATGGCTTGGGTCACTGCTCACCAGATCCACAGAGGCAGGGACTCCCAACTCTATAAGTCAAACATATTGGAAGAGAATGTCAGTCAGGGTATACTTTACAATATGTTTCAAATACAGCAGAACAAGCAACCATGTAAGAAGAAAACAAAGCTCATTAGCTCTTTTAGTCCTAGTTTGTTTTACTATCCTTACTTGTTTACCACATCTTCTACCAGTCACTCAGCTACTGTATTTACTGAATCCAAGCCTTTATTTAGGGATAAATGGAAAACATATGGACTACAAATTTTTCTACCTCCATCTCAAATCAACCTGAGGTTTAGAGTGGCATCACGAGAATTCTTCATTTTAAAAGCCCATCTAACTTTAGTGAGTTACTAGGAATTCTAATTCACTAAAAATACGGAATTCAAGAAGCAAAATTTCAAATTGCTATTTATTGGTAGAGTCATAAAAACAGCAAATGCAGGCAACTCATCAAAACCTAGGCACAAGTTATGGCAGCTCACGAATAAAGAAGACAATTTTATTTATCATTTAGAATAGGGTAAAACTTGGTTAAAATCTGGAACTTATTTGTAAACATTAAAAATGAAATTCTATGTATACATGATCATAATCTGATTTTTAAAATCTGGTTCAAAATCTAAGTTAAGTAAACTAACAATTCAAAAATGTGTATCTTCCAGAAGAAGATACATTAATGGACAATGAGCAGACAAAAAAAGTCCTCAAAATAGCCACCAAAGAAATACAACTTAAAAAGGCAATGAAATACAGCTGCACACACCCATCAAAATGGCTAAAATTAACTACACTATCAACAACAAATGTTTGTCATTAAGGATGTAGGGTGCCTGGAATTCTCACCCATTGCAATCAGTGGTAAAACATGGCACAACCGCTTTCAAAGAAAGTTTGGCGATGCCTCATAAAGTTAAATAGTTAAATACATAAATCTTCTTCTAGAGCCCCAAAATTCTATTTACAGGTCTTTACCTGCCTGTGATTAAAAAAGAAAATACAAATGTTCATAGGAGTTTTGTTCATAATAGAAAAAATCTAGAAACAAGCCAAATGTTTATCAAGAGGTAAATTATAAACAAAGTGGTTTAAAGAAATACTACAAATAATAAAATTAAATTATTCACATTTATTACCACATGGATAAACAACAAGAACATTACAGTAAGAGTAAACTGTCAGATGTAAAAAGAGTATACATTGTACAACTTCATTTATATGAAGTTTTAGAATAGACAAAACTAATTTATAACAAAAGAAACCATAACAGTGGGTACCTCTGGTTGGGAACGAGGGGAGGAGATGACTGTGAATAACACAGAGAAACTTTCGGGCACTGAAGGAAATGTTCTCTACCTTGATAGAAGCAAAACTTTCATGCATTTGTCAAACTCATGAAAATGTATCCTTAATATTTGTTTTTGACTGTATATAAATTATTTCAATTTTTAAAAATTCAAAACAAATGCCTGCTACTTCACCAAATAATATGCTTCTTAAAATTATACATACTAAATTGGAAAGTCAAGCAAATATATTTTCACTGCTTAAAAAGAAAACCCTTCAAATTGAATTTAGAACAGTAAGAGCCTATAGAATCATCTACTTGTTTCTTTTAGAATAAGACATTTTATAAAAGACTCTGTAAGAAAAAGGAGAAAAAGGCACATACCTTGGTTATCACTAAACACACTCAAGGCTGGAGCAACCTCAGTGGTATTCCACAAACGGAGAGTGCCATCTGCTGAACAGGACAACAAACGCTGGTGCGCTGCACTGTAGGCCAAGCCCCAGACTGCATCCGTGTGGCCCAAGAGAGGGCCTCTTAAGACAGAAGGATCTGCAAGAACAGCAAGAATGCAGGGCAAAAGCACAAATCATAAAGGTACTGAGAGAGTCCAGTGGAAAGTAAAATATACAAACAGAAAGTATAAAATATACTTCCTCGTTTCTATTATTCTTTTGAAATGCAGCAAGAACAGGCCTGGAAACAATGCAAATATAGGGTTTAAAATGTCTAAATTAAAATTTTAAAGTACATATTTTTCTCCTTAAAAAGATCAGCCATTTCCTTCTTCCTCCCCTTTTTTCTTCCCATTTGTGTGATTTTTTTTTTTAAAGCATGTTAACACAAGCTATTAGGATTTAGTCTACTCTCAGAGAAACCACAGCTCACGTTCCCTGAGGCAGTGAACAGAGACCCTTTCCCTCCTCTGAGCCCTTCAGCACCTGGTGCACACCCTTCAGGGCACTTGTGCTGTGATGGTATGACTACCATCTCACCTCTTGGGAGCAACAGGCTTCTAACATTCTTAATGGACATGAACTGAGACGTACAGAAATCCCCAAATTCTCAAACAAGACAGACAAACGATATGCATGTGGTGGGGGCGTGGGGAGCCAGGAAAGAGCATTTCATGATAAAAGCCAAATTGGAAATTTTACTTATTAACCCTCACAAGGACTCTAGAAGCTGTACTTTCAAGATAGTTCAGATAGACATTGTTAAGTTTACAATGTCACTGGTGTTATTTGTTCTATATCCTCTTTAGTTATACCATGAAATATTTATTGAAGATACACTGTGTATTTGGCACTATGCTAGATGCAGGGGTCATGCAGATGATTAGACACAATACCAGCTCTGTCTTCAAAAAGTAATGTGGTTTAAGTACAATAACAGTGGCAGGAACCAGTTACTAAAGAGAGTGACTGGACACTTGGAAAGAATGACACCTAGAGTGTATAGATGTTGGCTTGTCAAAGGGCAGAGGGAAGGCATTCCTGGCAAAGGAGGCAGCTCCTAACAACTCAAAGAAGGAAAAATAGAATGCTATGTCAGGACATTTATAAGAAATTCAGTATTACTGGACTGTGAAATTTGAGGCAAGAAGTGGATGAGATGAGAGCGGCCAGTTTATGGTGGGATGCCTATGACATACTTAGTAAATTACCCTAGAAGCAACAGAGAAACACTGAAAGGATTCCCAGAATCAGCAGTGTGAAGCAAGTATTTAATATGGTAACTCTGATTACAGTGTAGAAGAGATTGTAAAGAAACAAGATGAAGGCAAGTGGACTGTTTTAGAAGACTGGGAGAGTGAAGATGAAAATCAAAGCAAGGACAGTGATAAAAGGGACAGAAAAGGAGTAAATTCAAGAAATATTTAGGGGGTATTAACAAAAAGGTATAGTAATTAATAAATGATAGATAGTAAAATAGTACAAAGAATCAAGGATAACTCTTGGGTTTCTAGTTTGGATAAGTTTGGTAGTGCCACCACCTGATAAAGAATATACAAAGAATATTTGAAAACAGACTTCCCTAATAGTCTATTGGTTAGGACTTGGTGCTCTCACTGCCAGGGCCATGGGTTCGATCCCTGGTTGGGGAGCTAAGATTCCCCCAAGCTGCATGCTGTGGCCAAAAAAAAATATTTTTTATAAATAAATAAATTTTTTTTAAAGTAGAAGGGAAATTATTTCCATCCTGGAATTCTANGTATGACAAAAACCACTGCAATGTTGTAAAGTAATTAGCCTCCAACTAATAAAAATAAATGGAAAAAAAAAAAGAATATATGGAAGAAGAAACAGTGCTTGTAGGGATTTATGGACAATGAGACAGCCATTTTCAAATGCTGTGTAGGAAGTCTCAGGCTTAAAAAAAAGATTGATGAGTCAACAGTATATAAAACCACAAAGTGGATTCAGTCTACCAAAGAATATGTATACAATGCAAAAAAAAGAGTTAGGGTCTAGCCTCAATAAATGTCAATATTTTTAAGGTGAGAAAAATAAAAGGAGTTTATGACGGATAGGGGATAGAAACTGTCATACAGTTGTGTCAAAAAAGCCTATAGTGAAAAGATTTCAAAAAGGATAGAGTGGTCCACAGTTTCAGACAGCCAGTACATCAAGTAAAGTAAGAACTGTAAAATATCCCTTGGATCAGCCAGTTAGATAGTTATTGATACTTCTTTGCATTTAAGTGGCATAGCCACAAACAGAATGAAGAGGGATGATGCACAGTGAAAGAACATGGAATCAATAACTAATAATTGTCAGACCAAAGAGACACGGGAAGAAAGAGAGGCTAGAAAGATGCTAACGATGACCCTATATGCAAGACAGCAAAAGAGACACAGATGCACAGAACAGTCTTTTGGACTCTGTGGGAGAAAGCAAGGGTGGGATGATTTGAGAGATAGCATTGAAACATGTATATTATCGTATGTGGAACAGATCGACAGTTCAGGTTCAACGCATGAGATGGGGTGCTCAGGGCCGGTGGACTGGGATGACCCTGAGGGATGGGAAGGGGAGGGAGGTGGGAGGGGGTTCAGGATGGGGAACACATGTCCACCCATGGCTGATTCATGTCAGTGTATGGCAAAAACCACCACAATATTGTAAAGTAATTAGCCTCCAATTAAAATAAATAAATTAAGAGAAAAAAAAAAAGAACCAGAGAGGGAAAAGGGAGTCACAAAAGGCTTCTTCTTGCTCAGGATGGGAGAAACTTGAATTTACTATATGCTCAGGGGATGGAAAGAGCAAAAAGGGTAAGTCTTCAGATGAGCACAAAAAAGAGAGGCAGCAAAAAAGAAAAGAGAGTGCAGTCTCAAAGGAAACGAGAAGGAGGTCAACAGTGAAAGGGAAAGGGTTGGCTTGGGACAGAATGAGGTCAACTGATCTCTGAAAGAGGGATAAAGGAAGTGACGAAAAGTATGAAACAGATAAATTCAGAAGAGAACTGCAGCAGGAGAGAGGGTGTTATCTTTCACAAAATATATGTTAAATGCTTACTAAATAAATGTTGGGAGAATATTTTGGTTACTGAATTCCTTATCTTTACTTAGGTTTAGTGGTAAAATTAATCTAAAATGATAATAAAAATAAACTATGGTTTTATGACAAATATGACACTCCATACCATTCTAGAATTTATGGAGAATTTAAAGAGAAAATCAAAATAGTTGAAAGCGAATTTATGATAATATCTAGTGACAGATTATACAATTTTTTGATTCATGGTGCTGTTTCCAAATCTAAAGGGTACTTCTTAATTTTTAAAAGTCTTTTAAATATTTTGGTGTTATACACTTTGAAAATCATTAGCCTCTATACTCTGTAAATAATAGATCAAGAAGATGATGCCAACATTCATTTCCCTTCAAAAATATTTGTCAAGAATAGTGACAAAATATGATTATAGATTATAAACAATGTATCAAGTACTGCACACATGCCTACAAATGAAGAAAACAACTGTCAATCAAGCCAGCATTTTCAATCAGTAAGACTTGGAGGTGGGAACTCTTTTCTCAGGAAAAATACATTATTCTCCCTCTTTTTTTTAGCATTACATATATATCAAATTGATTCCCAAATACAGAAACCCTTTTTAACAAAACAAATTTATTTTCAAAAACATCTCATTTTATCCATATATATGCAATATAAACTGCATAAAAATAAAGCATTTTATTCCTTCATATTCTGGGGGAGTCACATACCATAGGAGTCATAGGGATCGACATTGGGGTTGGTGGTGTTCCAGCTCTGGATCAGGCCATCAGCACCACCACTGTAGCACTGCTCACCACTGCTGCTCATCACCACACAAAGCACGGGGCCTCTGGGAGAAAAAACCAATTTCCATCCTCAAAACATCTATTTGACATTGGAATGAGTTAGAAATAAGAACGCTTAAGTTTTTCAAACGGCTTTCTCTTTTTCTATTTTGTACAACAAATTATCAAAGCACTAATTCGTTTTTCTTCCTCTGCTAAACCAGTGGTTAGTGATCTATGGCCTATGGATCAAATCCAACCAGTGAACTGTTTTTGTACAATCCTAAAGCACTTACAGTTTCTACCTTTTTAAAATGTTTTAATACAAAACTAAACTAAAAGCAAGAATATACATTAAATACGCAGCCTAAAAAGCATTTACTATCTGACCCTTTTTATATGTAAAACGTATGCCAACCTCTGTGCTAAAATCAAGTGAACAGGTACATTTCTTAAACTTAAATGGAAACAGGAAAAGCATGAAATGTGACCACAATTTTTTAAATGTCTCAGGTATTTTTACCTAGGTTACCTTTAAGGAAAAATAGATCAGGATTTCTAATAGTTAAACTTAACTGCCTCAACTTCATTTTAAGAGAGAGTTATATACATCATCTAAACATCATGCAAATAATACCTAATTTCAGCAAGGATCCCTATTTGGTATACTTGTTAATATTACAATATCTGCCACTTTCTTTTACATTTACACAAAAACATGCTACCAAATATTAAAAAAAAAAAAACCACATACCACAAATACATACATGAAAGAAAATAAAATATACTAATCAGACTGATTTACAATGATGTTGATTTAACACAAAGAAAAAGCACACACTTACTTATGAGCTCTGAATGTATAGATAGGCTCCACATCAAGAGACGTGCTCCTAAATCAGAGAGAAAGGAGGATTTCTTTATCATTCTAAAAGTCAGTAGTAAACAGTATGACTGAATGTATGTCATAAAAATGCCCCTAGAAATATCAGCACTATGGTAATATACCATTCTCAACCCCAGGACACAATAAAGCTTACTTAACACCAATCACATATTTTTGTGACTTCAGGAAACAAATTCTTCTTTAGTAACAATATCCTGTTATAGCACTTTTAGGACTGTCCTAATCTATTTGATTAAAGGGGGAGAGAGAGCCTCACTCAGGGAGAAAACACATGGGTTTTGACGAGATAAATTTCTGGATTTAATTTCCAGTTCTGTATCTAATTGGCTAACTTCAGGCAAATTATTTAGTCTTTTGAAACTTTAGATTCCTCTATGTTTAATATAAAATAGAAAAATAGGCATAACAGCAAATATTTACAAGATTAAATGAGATTCTTCAAGGTAAAACAGCCTAGGACAGAACCATACAGAACAGAATTTCAAAGTTACTTTAATTTCCTTGCCATTTCCATAAAGATTAACATGTCTGTTCTTAATACCTGCAGAAACTGTCCACATTAGATTTGGACATCAGAATAGATTATTCATTACTCAGAACACTGAGTGTATGAGTACTCTACATGGCTAATACTGGCCATAACAGAACAGAAACTGGATTTAAAATTGGATTGTATTACAGATTTTTTTTAATAGGGATATGATAGCTCTCCTTATTTCCAAAGTTTTAAGTTCAAAGGTAAACAAAGGCTATTGTTACTTGCTTATGAAGGTGTTATTACTAAGCTACCACCAGCAAGAAATTTCAATATATTTCAAAGTTATAGTCAAGAATATATGATGAGATACTCACATTCTCTCATTTAATATGATGCCCATTGTGAACTAAAGAACTTGAAGAACAAAAGGCACAGTTTGTAACCAGGAAATACCTTTTCTCTGTTAAAGACACCTGATCTACATGAAGATTCACTTGGTTTTAGCAAGATTCAGTTGAGCTGTCTGATGAACGTCTACGTATGACAGCTGGAATGTCACTGATTGCTTTCAAATTGGGCAGGAGATATTCTCTGTCAGTAGTAAAACTTCCATCCTCTCCTCCATTTGATGTTCATTTCTACTCTTTAATAAAAAGAGGTATCTATCACTGTAGAAGGGCCCTTGCTGGTAGATGCTGGGTTCTGGACCATGTAATCCAAGGAAGAAAGAGAAAGTACCAAGTGGGGTCAGGACTAGCTTGGTGACTGATAAAAGGGGTTTATACCAATTCATGTCTGTCCATGCTTACGGAGGAACCAAGTGGTCAAGGCAAGTATTAGCAGGTAAGTGAGAGCAGCAACAGTGCCCTTCAGTCTAGACATTTCGGTCAAGATCAAAAGAAAAGATCAAAGAGAGGTCTCTTGCCCCCACCCGCTCCAGTATCCCCTATCACTTCTCTCCCTTCTGCTCTGTAAGTCCAAACATAGTAAACAATGGGGAAGGATTGGGGTTGGGGTTTGACGATTTTAAACATGACTATGCCTGCTTACAACAACAACAGAAACCTCCAGTACAGACAAAGCGTTCCTGAAATGTAACAGTTATTTAAAACACCAAATAAAGATTATAACCAGCATTCACAAACCATTTCTCCCTAAGGGTCAGTTCTTCAACCTAAATTAGCTTATGAGTATGAAGGCAAAAACACCCTAAATTACATGACATGGTAAAGGAAAACAATTGGAAGAGATATTTGGGGAATTTAACAGCAAATAATAAAGTAAGGCTTTCTCTGCTAAAAAAAAAAAAAGTTAATTAAATTATTCAAATACAGTTAAAGTAGAATATTCTCACTTTTTGGCTGGGGCTGTTTTCTGCAAATTCCACATTTTTAACGTGTGATCCTCTGATGCTGTTATCAAAACAGGCTCAGTGGGGTGGAAAGCGAGGGCTCTAATGCCATCAAAGTGACTTCTTAATGTAAACTTGGGGTTCCATGTCTTCCTCAATGCATCTTTATTGTTTGCTATCTATTAAAGAAACAAAAGATACCAATATACTTAGTTCAGAATGGGGGAAAAAAACGGTATTTCAGCATTAATTCTGTTTCAGGATTAAACTATCATTATTTTGCAACTTTCAAAGTAATATAATTTTTAAACAGATAATCAAATCAATAGGCAAAATTAGCAATATGTCAACAATGGTTTTCTTTGAAGAAATATGAGTGCTATAATAAGAAAACACATAATTCAGTATAGAAGGAGGATCAAATAACTTAGTAACAAAAAAATGATTTCAACCTGAATTATAGAATAGAAAGCAATTTTAGGTAAGAGTTGAAAAACTAAATTATTTTAAACATGTTATCATTACAGAATATGATGATACTTTCAAAATTTTCAACGGTTTCAGACAAGAGCTAAATTTTCTTCAAATTGGTAATGAAATTTATATACTGGCAACAAAATGCTAAAATTGGAAGAGACAATCAGATATTACAAACATAATAATATATTTATTATGTTCCTTTTCTCCACAGAGGGCTTCCCTGGTAGCTCAGATAATAAAGAATCTGCCTGCAACACGGGAGACCTGGGTTCAATTCCTGGGTTGGGAAGATTCCCTGGAGAAGGGAACAGCAACCTACTCCAGTATGCTTGCCTGGAAAATCCCCACGGACAGAGGAGCCTGGTAAGGCTATGGTCCATGGGGTCACAAAGAGTAGGACACGACTGAGTGACTCTCACTTTCTCCACAGAATCTCAATCTCAACAACTGAAAAAATAATGCATTGTTTTTTCATTCCAACTAATAAAAAAGCTAAAGAGGATAGTGTTTGGCTTTACACAAGCACCATGAATGAACTTCACACTCCAAGGCTAACAATCATGGTAGATTTAAGCAAGTATTTGCAATATATTGGAGACATGTTACCATACTCACAGTTACAAAAATTGTCAATGATACAACTGATATTCTAAGCAGCATTCATTATTTTCTACGTTATTCAAAAGACTTAAAAAGCATTAACTCCCTTAATCCTCACAACTCTATGATGTAGGAATTAACACTATTATAGACTAGGCATTTTAGGGAAAGAGAAGTTAAGTGACTTGCCATCTAGTAAATGGAGGAGTCAGGATTCAAAATCAAGCAGTCTGGTTTCAGAGGCTATACTATTAAACTGTAATTTAGAACCCCAAAATTTAAAAATCTGCAGAGAAATTTGGACAGGACATGTCACAACTGGGGCAATGCATGTGTGCTAAGTTGTTCCAGTCGTGTCTGGTTATTTGTGACCCTATGAACCATAGCCCATAAGGTTCTCTGTCCATGGGATTCTCCAGGCAAAAATACTTGAGTGGGTTGCCATGCCCTCCTCCAAGGGATCTTCCGGACCAGGGATTGTCTCTTTTGTCTCCTGCACTGGCAGACGGATTCTTTACCACCAGCACCACCTGCGAAGCAATAAGTGAAGACAAAACACATTAGGCAAGGAACTACTCTAAGAGTGGGGCTGATTATTTTGGGGGCAGGCAGGGCTGGCAGGAAGGTTAAAACGACAAGGGCAACTGAGCTGACCTCTGCTACTCTTATTAAAGAGCTAAAAGGTTTTCATGTGGAAGAGTACTTAAATTCCTTTGATTATCTTGATGTGGTAGGCAGCCACTAAGTTCCCAATCGGCCCCACCTATTTTTACCTTTGGGTAGACCCCTTCCCTGGTGACTCCGATGGTAAAGAACCTCCCTGGAATGTGGGAGACGCAGGTTCATCCCCTGGAAGGAAATGGCTACCACTCCAGTATACTTGCCCAGAGCATCCCATGGACAGAGAAGCCTGGCAGGCTACAGTCCATGGGGTCATAAAGAGTTGGACACAACTGAGCAACTAACACATTCACACTTCCATGTTATAGGGCTGCTCTCTGACCAACAGCATACAGCAGAAGTTGGAACAAATAACTTTCAAAATTAGGTTATAAAACCTTTCATCTTGAGTGTTTCTTCTCTCTGTCTTTTCAGGTACACTCACATTGGGAAAAGCCAGCTGCTCTATTGAGGAGCCCACAGAGGGGTCCATGTGGTGAGGAACTGGTCCCCAGCCAACAGTCAGCCAGGAACCAAGGCCTTCAAACAACTACATGAGTGAGCTTGGAAGCAGATTTTCCTCAAGTCAAGTCTAGGTAAAACTGCAGCTCTTGTCAATGTCTTGATTACAACTATACAAACAGCCGGAGTCACATAATTAAGCTGTCCCCAGACTGCTGACCCATGGAAGATGTGAGATATAAATGTTTGTTCTTTTAAGCTATTAAATGTGGTACAAGTTGTTATGCAGCAATAGATTGCTAATATGCTTAATAAAACTAGGAACTACTTTTAGAAACTGAGACAGACTATGTTTTCTAACAAGCAAGAGTTATGAAAAAAAGGATGAGCTTTCTCCAGAGAGAGGACTGAATTCCTTTATGTATTAAACAAACTCTTTGCAGGAACAAAAGCATCTAATGGGAATTTCTGCTTCTGGTCATGATGGACTAGATCATTAGGACCAACTGTGTACTGAGGACAAGTAGAATAGCAAAGCTAAGAATAAAAAATCTAGAACTAACAAAATGGTGGGAAAAAACCTAGGATCCAGGTGAAGACAGAGGCCTACAGAAGTGAGCCTGATATCTGGAACTGTTATCCCCAGAGAGTGTTTACTGATTGCAGAAGAGATGGCTGAGAGGTTGAGCTGTGCTTCTGATGACTTTGCAAGGCAGAGAGATATAGATTGATGTCCAGGGCCTGCCAAGAAAGTAGGGTTTAGTAGACCACGCTTTAGGTTTTGATTTCAGAAGGCTGTATCCTACACGTAAGAGTGAACTAGAAGAACAAAAGCCCTTAAAAGATTGTAGATCAGCTTCAGATCACCTCAAAAACTGAAAATGAAGCAGGTGATCCAGATTTCTAATGGCTGCAGACATCTGAGAGAAGAAAATGAAAATACACTCTTTGTGGAAAGATATAAACTTAGGCCTGAAATTATTTCTAGAAACAATTTTTCAAATATAGTTATTTGGACACAGTACAAAATAACCATACCTATATGAGATACAACAGAATAAATGAAAACAAACAGAAACAACACATAATTAGTAACAGAACTGAGTCTCTGATTCAAAGTTTAAAGTAATCATGCTTATTATGTTCAAGAAGATAAAAGACTGAAAGTTCTGGAAGAAATCTGTAAATAATTTTTAAATAGTAACCCTAGAAGCAAAGATATAAGATCTCACTAGATGAGTTTAATTACAGATTACATATAGCTGAAGAGAGAATTAGCTAACTGGAAGATGAGTCATTAAAAAAATCTAGACTGAAATACAGAGAAACAAAAGATGGAAAACACAGAAGAAAGGGGATCAGAAACAGAGAATATAGAAAGAGGATCTAACAATATAACAACAGTTCTAGAAGAAGAAAAGAGGGAGGGAGAGAGATGTAAAAGCAGTATCTAAAGAGAATGACTGAGAACATAACAGAACTCAAGGAAACATATTAAGCCAAAAAGGTCTAAGAATTTCATGAAGGTTAAATTAACAAAAAAAAACCAATCAACTAAATCTTTTATGAAAATCAAGGCATAGAGAAATAACAGTCACAGGAAAAACTGTCTACTACTGAATAACCAAAAACAGAAATGACAGTTGATTTCAAGAGAGAACAACAACAAAATATATTTAAAGCACTTAAAAAAAAGTATGACAGAAACCAATACAATTTTTGTAAATATCCTTCAATTAAAAATAAGGGGAAAAAAAAGCACTAAAAAATTTTTGCAAAGTGAAATTCAAAATCAGAGATAATAGCCTACTCAGGCAAAAAAAAAAAGACAAGTAAAGACAATTCAAGAAAATCAGAAACTAAGAAAGTTGGCACCAATAGATCTTCATTAAACAGATATATTGTATTCTTAGAGTAAAGGAAAAATGAACCCAGATGGGTAGTCAGATATGCAAGGGAGAATGAAAAAAGACAAGACAGTTAATGTGAAACAGATAATTCTGACTACTGAGTGTACAAAACAGAAGCTGGTAGAAGATTAATGTACACAGAAGTAAAATATTTAACAAGAATGACATATACATTGGGTGGGAGTTTTTTAAATAGAGTGTTCTAAAGATCCTTGCATATAAAATTTTGCTAAGAATGTGTGTAGTAATTTGTAATTTAAAAAGTAATGAAAGAGTATATAAACTTCAAATAATGGAGAGGAGAGAATGATAAAAAATAATCAATCCCAATTTAGGTGAAAATAGAAAAACACAGAATAGGCAGCACAAAAGATGGCAGGATTAAGTACAAATATTATTAATTATTTTAAAAAGAAATTGACTAAACGCTTTCTAATTTTAAAAGGCTGTCAAAGGTTAAAAAATAAAAGCCAGCAAAATGGTGTTTTTAAAAGACATAAATTATAAGGATATAAAAACACTGAAAACAGAATTTTTTTTCCAAATCTCTATCACATATGTGGAGAATGGAATACAAGGAGCCTGTTTAAATGAGGTCATTATGTTGGATCCAGGTGAAGAAAAATGGACTAGGGGGGAAGAAAAAAGATGTACTATATGGATTCAGTTGTTGGAGATAGAACCCCAAAGACTTACTAAAGGGCTTAGCAAAGAGGGAGAGAGTTTTTGATCTGCGGGAAGAGGAGTGAGTGGTGAGGTTCCTCTTTGGAATACTTCCAAGGCTCACTTACGGATTCATGCTATATCCTCTATGTGGCTACAGCTACACAGTATTCCCCAATGAAGAAGATGAAGTATAAAACTGAAAGGATTTTAATGAAAAGATAGGCTGTAAATACTTTATGAAATAAACAACTGTTTTTCTGATACTTGATGATGATGAACAATTATAAAAGAACTGTGTTAACTAAATGGATGTGTGCATAAAGGTATAAAGATTCCAGTTTTGGTCCAAATCACTGATAGGTCAACCTTAGCATCTGGAAAATATCTTGCATACACCTTGTCTGACAACAGCTAAAACTAGTTCTCAGCTGTTGTATTATTGACAATGTATTAAATAAGCAAGACAAATGTTGCCATTAGGCAAGCATGAATTTCAACTAATCACTGGTATCTTAAAACAAGACAAATCCAACCTTGGTGATAGAAAAAGGAATTCTTTCCCTTATCTAAAACCAATGAATAAGCTCTACTGACTTACAGATTTAGGTAAAATCTATAATTGTAACCTGTATGATGTGAAAAGTGTTGTTTATTTTTATAATATGCTCGTATTTTCAAAGTTTGTGATTAAAACTGAAACAAATTTCACATTTGTGAAGAAGTCTTACTATTGTCATCTTTTTCTATAAAATGAACTTTCTATTTTTTAAAAAGTAAATTAAAACAACATAAATAAAACTACTACTCACATCATAAGTTAATGAATCTGCTTCATTGGCCACTGTAAGGCCTGCCAATTCTCCAAGTCCCAATTCACTTTCAAGTGCTTCATCTGCTCCCATGATGAACGACTTCCCAGAAGAAGGAGGAAACGTCAGTGCTTCCACTGAAGGGAGAAGATAAGAGAAACATTAAAAAAAAACTTCCAAATAGTCAACAATTAATTTCATAAGGGCATATCTACATTTGATTATTTATAAATGCTTTCAAACACAGTAAAATTCAGTATGCAGAAAATCCTGAAGCAGTGCTTGCTTTTTTCCATATTTTAACCATTAAAGGTATCATCTAATTAGAAAAGTACAACATGAAACGAACCCTTTCTTTTTCACTATAGAAAAAAAATTTTTAAATGTATGAAAGAAAGTAGATTTTCCTCATTTGATATTTCATGCTAATTACCCAAGTGATTTCTATTAGTTATTAAAATATGTATAGTGAGTTAATCTTTTTTAATTAATATATTTTAATTGGAGGATAATTACAATATTGTGATGATTTTTGCCATACATCGACATGAATTAGCCATGGGTACACATGTGTCTCCCCATCCCAAACCCTCCTCTCAACTCCCTCCCCATCCCATCCCTCTGGGTTGTCCCAGAGCATTGGCTTTGGGTGCCCTGCTTCATGCGTTGAACTTGAACTGGTCATCGATTTTACATATGGTAATGTACATTAAAACATGTATAGTGATTCTGAACATTGCTGGCTGCATTCAAAATAAAATTGGTTAGTTCTATAACCTAAATAATACAGAGAAATCTCAAATGAAAATGGTTCATAATTATATTAGTAAAAAGCGCCTATGTAAGGCAAAGCAAATATGTGTTATCAAAACTCAAGACTACTTCTTGAGAAGAGGGAAGGGGCAGTGTTTGAAGGCAGCACCATCAGGACTTCTAGGCCCTGGTGACGTTCTGCTTCCTGACCTAGGCAATGGTGACACGAATGGTTTTGCTTTGAGATAACTCACTGAGCTCATCCCTATGACTTTAGCAGTTTACTGTAAGTATATTATATTTCATTTAAAAATATTTATTTCAAAGAAGTTTTTTATTAAAGTGTCCACTGGAACACTTTTTATAAATGCAAATCATTCTGACAAGCCATCAGAGAATCATTCTTTAAGTAGCTGTCTCAAGGTAGTGACTTTATTGATGACAAACATTTATGAGTTGATTAGATGAATTTAGTAGTTTAACTTTGGCTGCTAAAGAAGTTAGTTAACTTTTTTTTTAAGAAAAAGTCAACTGTACTAATCAATGTATGAAGAGAATAGATTTATGAGATGTTTTTCAGTTTTACATTCAATCATACAATTTTAGATTCAATCTTAAATATTGAAGAAATGAAAAGAACAGCTATGAACTTTTAAAAATACTAGTGGCAAGAACTCTACTCAAAATCATTACAAGAACAAAATAGAGTATAAATTGATACGACATTTTCAAACCACCATACAATAAAGCTGCAATAATAAAAATGGGTCTTACCCAAACATACCACGTATCTTATGAGGGGTTTGAACAACTCTAAACATTTACTAATAAAGAGCAGGAATTGTTTCATTTAGAACAGCAATTTTCATGCCAAAATTTCAACCAAATGATTCACATGAGACTAAGAGGTTAGATCTTCAGCCAGGTGTTCTTTTTTTGTTTTGTTTTCATGTCTAATATTGCCAGAAAGCTCGGTTCAGATATGAAGTAAAAATGGCTCTACCCCACCCCCCCCCAAAAAACTAAGATTTGTAATTTGGTCACTCACATTGCGTGGGCTAATTTAACTAACTGTTCTAGGAATGGCCAAGTAAAATCTGAAACAAAGGAAGGCAACCAACAACTGCTTCCACTGATACCAGTGGCTAAGCCAGCAGACCTAAGGGCCAAAGAGAGAGGGCTCCAACGGGCAAACCATTAACTGACTGCTCTCTAATAAGAATCCTGACAACTTTCGATTAGAGGTCACATTTCTATTACTAACTAAATATTAAAGGCTCTAATCAGCTTTTACAAAATAATTTAAATATGCCTCAAGTGCAGCACTGCTTTCTGAATAATTATAATAAAAATAGAGTAATAAAATTACATAGCACACACAAGCTATGGAAACTTCTTCTGATACTGGACTGGAGAATGAAAAGCATCAGTCACAGGCAATTAAATCTACAACATATTTCTTAAGTGCCTTTTCCACTTGTGAAAATTCTGTACTGTGGGAGCAGACATAGGACCAATACTACAGATCATATATTAGACATTCAAGACTTCCGTTCTAAAGGTTCTTAAATTTTTTTTTAATTAGGGGCATTTCCCGTGGTTTATACATCCTTTTCTGCATATCTGTCATTTAGAACATATTCTGCCTCTATTATTATAATTGGGTTACATGGCAGAAACCAACATAACACTGCAAACCAATTATCTTTCAATTGAGAAAAAAGAATTCTGTAAGATGAAATTTCTGATAAAACTCTTTTGAGATTATTAGAATAAGACAAAAACTAACTTTCCTTCTTATCAGACCTGATCTTAGAATAAAGGAAGTTGATTAAAATTCTCACATCTATAGTATCAGCTGAATGAATCTCCTAGTGAGTAACAAACACACCTGTTGAGGCCCCAAGATTCACAGCTTAATTTAAAAGATACCTATCTACATCAAATAAATTGTTCATCTAGAATGGAAAGGTATCATATGTGACTCTTCATTATTTAATGTATGGAAAATGAATTCCCAGTATACTATAATTAATGCTAATAAATTAGCCAAGCAATGATCAAACAATTTATTGAAAAAGTATTCCAAACACAAAAATCTATTCATCGAGGTCCTGTCAATTTACATTTCTCTAAAACACAACCAAATTTAAAACCAAGAAAGAGTAATAATACATGTTTCTCTGTGACTTTGGTGGTTTTATTCAATAAATAGTAATTTGAAGAGACATATCCACTGCAAGTAATTATAATATTTAAATTCAAGGCAATTTTTAAAAATAAATTTCAAAATACATTCATTAATCATGAAGATTAATTTTATGTCATTCATGACTTTCAACTAATGTAAATACATATTTTAAAATCAATTTCCACATATAAGCATTTTATACATTTATAAATAGGAATATCAGAACTTCTATATAAGAGATGGAAAACTACATTTACATAACACAAGATTATACTATAAAAAACTGGGAATAATCTAAATATCCAAAAAGGGAATGGTTAAGTATCAAGTCTAAAATAGAATATTTAATTTAAAATTTTTAATCTTAAAATTATAATCATGAATTTATTGTTATATATATATAAATACAACTGAATTCTTCTACATGGTGACTATAACTCTGTAAAAAGTATATGTGCATAGACAAGGACTGAAAGAGAACAAGGAAATGTGACTAGACTTTCAGGTGCCTTTTTTCTCTTTTTGTCAATGATAAATGCTTAAACATATGAAAACATTTATGTGAGTCTCAAAGTAAACATTTACTAACTATGTATATACTCAGTTTTCTCATTGTTGGAATGGTATTAGAACTATATGTACATACATCAACTACATGGCTTCTGTGAAGCTGCGGGGGGATGTTCTAAACTACAATTTAGACTTGGTTTTAAGTTTATGCATCTTTTTTCAAGTCTTAAAAACTATAGTTATAATCAAACCCCCTTGAATATAAGAAGGTCTACAATGTGGAGTACTACATATATAGTTCAAACATTTGTAGAATAAAATTCCTCTCTTAGAGAGCCCTCTCTAATAACTGAATTTAGATAAGTACGTCCAGTGTTTTTTGTGCTCTAGTGTGTCCCAAGTACTTGCCTTCATCTGCCCTATTTATTTCATGTTCAGGAAGCCTGGAGCTGCTGGGTCTGGAAGGTGAACCCACAGATGGCTGCAAGGAGGGAAGTTCATCAACATCTCTCAAATTAGCAAGCATATCTTGTAGTTTTGACCTATTGGGCCCTAGTCCCAAAAAGTGAGAGAGAGAACAAAAAAGAGAAAACAGAATTATTCAACTGCATCAAAATGGTGCCATAAACCTTATTCACATCACACCAATATTCACCTTTAAAACTACCATACTATATTAAAGAGTAATTTATTTTCTAAGTTTTCAAGATTTTTAAAAAGGTATATTACTCTTGAAAAATTATGTTTTACATATATTTTTTAAGTTAAGCTAATGGAATAATGTCATTATTTGCATGAAAAAATGTTCCTGTGCAATTTGGATCATTAAAAATAATATTATTCTATTATTCTAGAATCCTTGTATACAACTCTAAACACAGATACCACAGCCTGTGAAGCTGCTGTGTACTAAATTTAACAATCACATTCTTTTATGTTTGTTTAACTTAAGCTGCATCACTGCTTTACATCCTGAAAATAAGGTACCCAAGGTGAAGTCTCACACCCTACCAATTACTTACCTGTACTTCGATGCTTCATTCTCCCACATCCCTGTTTTGACTGTTTTATATAGGATAGAGGCTGAAACAGATCTTCGGTTGTTTTTCCTGTTATAAGTTTAATTAAGAATGGGAAAATCTTACCCATAGTCCATTATGGTTTTTTCCTATTTTTAAGCAATTTTAACTACTGCCTAGAAATACATTCTAAGATAGTGTGATCAGAGAACACAATTTGACTGAAAATATTTCTACTAGCCCATATTATAAAGACGCAACCTCTTCCAATGAGAAACAGCTCAATTTAAAAAGATACCTACGATGCTTTACAAATTAGTGCTTCCTATGTCAATTCAAAGCTTTCCTTCAGTTCTATTTTCATTTTATGTCTTTCAGTTCTGTTTTTATCATGTCTTCTCTCGTTCCCAGGCTATCATTTTATCAAGATAACCTAAACTGATGATGATAAAATGTGAACTTCAGTCTTCAGTCCTTCTCTCTACAGTGAAAAACATTAGCCTTTCTCCTAAAGAATCATTTTTTCTCACCATACTAAAAAGCTATGTACCATATGCCTGAAACAGTGATCACAATCTTCAGGCTCAGGAAATCCACTAGCTTCTTTTAGCAGGAATACTACTTCAGTCAAATGGTGCAGCTTGAGACCTTAAATGCTTAACTCCAACTACAGCGAAGCCTTGATATTTGATAAGAACCAAATAATAAATAATAGATGAATTCTACATAAGTCCTTGATACCTTTTCAATTAACAGGTCTTTTACATTTTAAGACATTTATTACTGTAGCATGACAAATATATTAACTTTAAGTCAATTTGACAATAAATATTCTCCTTGTTTCTTTAACATGAAAAATATTCCTTAAAATTTCAGCTTAATGGTTTTATCATGGTTATGAAGTCATAAAAAACCATGTCTCACTTTGCTTGTTAAAATTAAATTGCATCAGTATTTTCAATAAAAAGTAGAAAATGTTCCTATGTTTTAATATTAACCTTTCTCATTGTGATTAACTAATATTGAGAAGGCATTAAATGACATTCTCTCTCAGTTACATAATAGTTGGTACAATACTAATATCAATAAAGGCCACTGACTTTCTATCCATTAAAGTGAAATATTTGTAAATTCTAAGATATTTTAAATAAAGATTTAAATATTTATCTGTAACTACTAGGTTATCAAAGAATGACTGATTTTTTTATAATCCTTACCATCACTACAAAAAGAGAAAAAGAAAAAGCATACCCCTCCAGTTTTTTGCAATTTTAAATACTTGCCTCACTCAAGTTGGATTTTAATCTCACTGTATGCTAATATCCCAAAGGATGACATTCCTACTGCCGTAAAAGGGAGACCCATGTCCATACTGTCAATGAGAGTGGTAGCACAAGGAGGTAATTTAACCTTGCTCTCCTAAAAAGGTGGTTAAGATGGTTTTCAGGGATGTGTGAAAGCTTTTGTAATTACATTCTATATACCTAACTAGATCTATTGTTAAACCTTACTAATAACTTGAATAAGACAATGATATGATGCACAGGGCTAGAAATTTCATTTTAGCTTCCATTTTTGATGTGGAACACATTTTGTTGGGAAAAGAAAAAACCTAATTGGTAATATTATAAATGACATTGGCCAAGATTTTAAAATAGAAAAATAAGTACTTTTAAAAAGTTGTGTCTGACTCTGTGACCTGTATAACATGTAGTGATGAGAGCAAATGAACTGTGTGTTATGAACACATAGGATATTCAGGGGTAGAAATTAACCTTCTTTCTGTGACCAAGACCTAAAATTGTAAGCAATTACTTTGGAGGCTTGCCAGAGGGTCACACTAGATGAGATTTAAATTATCAACAGTAAAAAATCATTACTGTAATTAAGCACATAAAGTTTGAAAAATCAAACTAATGCTATGTTTGAAAACACAGTCCCATACACTCATGATGCTCTGGATTTATTATTGGAATACATTATGGTCCCATAATTATATTCACAGCTTTTTTCTTTTTCAAAGTTCATGATCAAATATCTAACCATTTAATTTCCACCCCTGAAGAGCAAGTGAAAAGGAAAGAGGTCAGGAGAAGGAAAAAAAAAAGAGTAAGTAAGTTTTAGGAAAACATTGGGAAAAAAAATTGGGGGATATGAAAGAGGTAAAATTTATGATTTACAGATACAATGTTTTCCACTTACTCTTCACCCCCTTTTTCCCCTTTCTCTCCTTTTTGTATTGTTCCTTGAGTTTGGTAATTACTCCCTGGTCCACATTCCAAGCTTCAGGCATGAGACACTGGTCTTCCTTTTCTAAACAGAGTGAAACAAATGAAACAGCCTTTTTCAATAAGATACTGAACATTCAAAGTCAATTCACTGTTATGTCAATGAATGACATAACAACCATCTTCCTCATAGTATTACCAATTTTAAAGTTATTATTTATTCATCAGATACATGTCACAAGAAATATAATATCCAAGAAACAGTAGTCAATTCTATTTCCTTGGTAATAATATTAAATTTCCCTTGAAACAGATATAGAAAAAAAAAAAAAACACTGCAACATTTGAGTGACGTTTAGTAAATTAAGGCTCAAAAGTCTACCATCAAGAAACCCTCATTTTCAGACTGTGATTAGGATTGACTCACAAAAAAATTTCTTACTAATATATGTAATGAAAGATTATTAAGCATTTGTACAAAATAGTCTTCAATGATCTTTTCATTTCAAAAACTGTATTTCTGGCATGTGTTTATCAGCAAATGATCATTTTTATTTTACAGGCTTTATAAATAGCACTTTGCAAACTTATTAATCAACCTGGCATTCAATAGTTAAAATGATTTAAGTGACCTGTTAATTTATAAATATTTAAAGCTGGAAACAGAGCTTCTAAGAAAAAACAAATTCCACCATTAATTTCCACCATTTCAGGACTAGAAAATTTAAAAAGCAAATATTTTATGTATTTTATACTTAATATAAAATAAATTACTATATACATATAACATTATGTAAGTGTTAGCTCAGAACTCTCACCTGAAATCAAGACATATATCCACTTGCTTACTCTGTATTTCCATTAGGAACTCTAATCACAAACCAAACACACAAAACCAAACTCCCAATCTTTCCCATCCCATCTCTTCCATCTACAGGTTTTCCCATCTTATTTGAAGGCCCTATCAATAACCTGTGATATGCAGATGACACCACCCTTATGGCAGAAAGTGAAGAAGAACTAAAGAGCTTTTTGTTGAGGTTGAAGAGGAGAGTGAAAAAGTTGGCTTGAAGCTCAACATTCAGAAAACTAAGATCACGGCATCCGGTCCCATCACTTCATGGCAAATAGATGGGACAACAGTGGAAACAGTGGCTGACCACTTTTTTGGGCTCCAAAATCAATGCAGATGGTGACTGCAGCCATGAAATTAAAAGACGCTTACTCCTTGGAAGGAAAGTTAGGACCAATCTAAACAGCATATTAAAAAGCAGAGACATTACTTTGTCAACAAAGATCCGTCTAGTCAAGGCTATGGTTTTTCCAGTAGTCATGTATGGATGTGAGAGTTGGACTATAAAGAAAGCTGAGCACCGAAGAATTGATGCTTCTGAACTGTGGTGTTGGAGAAGACTCTTGAGAGTCCCTTGGACTGCAAGGAGATCCAACCAGTCCATCCTAAAGGAAATCAGTCCTGAATATTCACTGGAAGGACTGATGCTGAAGCTGAAACTCCAATATTTTGGCCACCTGATGCAAAGAGCTGACTCATTTGAAAAGACCCTGATGTTGGGAAAGATTGAAAGCAGGAGGAGAAGGGGACGACAGAGGATGAGATGGTTAGATGGCATCACCGACTCAATGGACATGAGTTTGGGTAAACTCCGGCAGTTGGTGATGGCATGCTGCGGTTCATGGGGTCGCAAAGAGTCGGACATGACTGAGCGACTGAACTGAACTGAACTACACTTTCATTTGATCAGACCAAAAACCTCCCTTTTTTCCAAATCCCACAACTATTTCAGGAAATACTGTTTCTCTACCTTTAAAACACATCTAGAATCTGACCACTCCTCAGCATATTCACTACTTCTCTGACCTCTGCTTCTTCCTAGAATTACAGCACATGTTTTCCCCTCTCCACTTCAAGTCTACTGCCAACATTAATTGCCCTGGGTGGTCTATTCTCAACACAGCAGCCAAAGTGATGCTTTCAAACAAAAGCTGGATCATGTCACCCTTCTGGCTCAACCGTCCCATGGTTCTCCATCTCACCAGTGGTCTACAAAGCTCCACTTGATTCGGTCACTTCCTACTACATTTCCCTCATTATCATTCTGCTCCAGCCACCCTAGCTCCCTTGAATTCCTCAAACATACCTGGATTACAGCTATCTTAGGGCATATGTTCTAGTTTTCTTCTTGAACACTCTTTCCCTGGATACTATGTGGCTAAGTCTCTCATCTACACTGTCTCTCATTCAAATGTTACCCTCTCAATGCACCTTCCATGATCAATCTATCTTATATTGTAACCTAGCCACTCCACTCCACCCTGTCCCCAGCACTCTCCATCCTATTTACTCTGTTCTACTTTTTCTATTTCCCATTGCATTTATCACATTGACTTACTGTATCATTTATCATGTTTATCTCTTGCTGCCTACATCCTCTTAGTAGAATGTAGGCCCACAGGGGTAGGGATCTTCATCTAGAAGACTTGGCACAAAGAAGGCACGTAATCAGTATTTGTTGAATGATTGAAATAAACCAAAATGAACCAGAATAATCAGAAATCTGTCTATTTTAACAAGTTTCAGTCCACAGTTTAAAAAACAGATCACTGGGTCTCTGAACATAAAAACTCAACACTTTTATTCTACTATCAATAGTAGAAAGTCTACTTTTTTTCAGAAAAATCTAACAATCAAAAATGTAGATTTTCATCAATTACATCTTAATAATAAATTAAACTGAGTTAGATTTTAGATCCTAGAATGCCTTCAGCTTTTTAAAGTACAAATTTAGCTATATCATACTCTTAACACCATACTGATAACAACAGTAACAGAAGATCATAGGAGAACTGTGATAAACCAGAAGATGCCAGAGATGAGATTTCTAAGTCCTTTACAAGGACTTCCCTGGCAGTCCAGTGTTAAGACTCTGTACTTCTACTGCAAGGAACACAGGTTTGATACCTGGTCAGGGAACTAAGATCTCACATGCCATGAGGCATGGCCAAAAAAAAACAAGAAAGAAAAGAAAAAATAATGAGATCTTCTACTATGTTCTCATACTCAATTTCCACAAAATCTAGACTTGCAAGTTCTACTGTTTAGGCAGAAACATTCTATAAATTCAAATTATTTTCATACTATACCATTTATGTTAAAAAAAAATGAGGAAGGTAAATAGCTGTACAACTTTCTTTAAACACACAGACACACATCCTGGAAAAAAGGTCATGATGGTTAAAAAGTCCACAGAATGTCCAACATTTTAATACTGTAAGAGATTTAAAGTGTTCTTCAAGATGCTGCTTTCCTAGTAAAATATTAGTTTCGTTCATTTACATAACGTCTCTGGTTGGATCCAGGATTCCTCCTTACCCCAGTCTGTCCCATCGCCTGCGCTTCTGGAGTCACTGTCTCCTTCTTCTGATGTAACCAAGAAGTCAAACTCCTTTAGAGCTTCTTTTGTATCTCGATCTTCACTGCTATCGGGCAATACTTTCTTCCTAACAATCTAATGATAAAAGCATGCTCAATTAAAATACTGGAATATATTATGGAATTAAATAAAGAAGACAATATCCCTTTACCCCTGAATGAGAAAACCCATATATTATTTTCTTCAGAAAATACATCTTTGTTGGGTCAAGTAACTGTGATACCTATATAATTCAGTAGAAAACACAGATATCATTTTAAGATTTTACATATTATTAAACATTTTAAAGCAGTAATTTAAACTTTGTTCAATGATGGCTTCTTTTAAATAAACAAAAGTAATCACATATTGAAAACATTGGCATACAACACATGCATTTATATTACAGAGAGAAGAAAAATGTCCCTGACATACTGTATTATGAGAACCACAATCAAATCTTACATTTCTGGGATGCAGTCTGTACAGTGTGCAGATATTCTAATCTAACCAAAGAAAGAAACACTTCATAAAACACTGCAAGAATTTTTCAGAATATAACCATGATAAATTTTAAGTCTAGTACATCATTCTCTCATAAAACCTAAAATCACAAAAACCACAAATTCAGAAATGCATGCCACAATACAAAGAAGGTATTCCGTTGGAGGGAGTGGGGGAGGGAGAACTCTTCCCATTATTATTTCCACCATCCCAAGCTTTCATCAATTTCCTCTAATAACTGTATACATATTCAAATTTTTCTTAAAATACAGATCTTTCAGAGATATACATAACTTAGATTTAATAACAAATCTAACAAGGACCATTATGTCTCATTTTTTTATGTCTCATTTTTATATATTTAGAAATATCTCTGGAATCATAAGGTGAAAAAGTTAATCATGAGAAAAGAGAAGGAGATAGAAAGGAGGAAAATTATCCAGACTGTAATGCAAAGAACAATCAAACTTCAATACAGGACAAAGAGCCAGAAAGGACAATGAACATATGTGTCTTTTCTAAGAAAATCCACTATTAATAGCCTGAACATAACCATCAGCTAAGAGCTTTGTGCTTCTGTTATTTTATTTTCTTGAATCTATTTAACTCTTTTTAATTAAGGAAATAAAGTGACATTTAAAAAAACCTGTTTGTTCTACTAAACATTTTAATAGGATAATTTTCAGCCACTCTCTCTATATATATAGTACTGCAATCAATCTTTTAAGTCCTGCTTACACATTGCTACATAGAGTTAGATTTTTTAAGTCTTTTGGCATGGAGTTGTTACACTGCAGCTGTGAAAATTAATGCATCATAAAAATTAGCAAAACTAATACAAAACTATTACAAAGAAACCAATTATTTATTTAGAAATATTTTTCTAAAAGAAAACTAGAAGAATCTTTGGGTCCAGCATTTAAATAGAATTAAATATGTTTACACTAGCTGTGCCTTCATGGCTTGGTCACAGAATTACCATAATCAGCACTAACTGGAAGTCAGGATATTTATGAAATTGATTATTTAAAAAGAAATCAGGATACAGTTAGGAATTTCTATTAAGACCATACTTGATAGGAATAATAAACAGTTTATAGATTTTTTAATATTTAACTAACATAATGACTAACAACAAAACTTAAAGCATCATAGTTATTATTTAACCACTGAGCTACAAGTACTTTGACAGAAAAATAATATCTCAGTGCAATCATCCCATAGAAATCACAACTCAGCATAAAATTTCCAAATGTTAAAAAAAAAAAATTTCAAATGTTAGGATGAGAAAAGTTATCATACAAGTTTCGGCATTTTATTTTACCACAGTCAGTTTAAACACAAGTGATTACTACTTGTTTGAATAATAAAAAGAGGGAGTAACTTCTTCGATTTGAAGTAACACCCATGGCAGGGCTGTATTAGAGCAAGCACTACACTACCAAACAGTGGCCGGGGAAACATGAATCCAGAAACAGTCAGCTGAGAGCCTCTGATGGGAGCAGAGGGCTTGAACAGAAAAGAGAAGTCACACTCAGAAAGAAAGCACTTTACAGTTAAACATCATTTTCAAACGTAGTGTTTCACTTACGCCTCACAAAATTCTCTGGGGATAAGATGGGTACTTGTTATAGGCCCGATTTTACAAACTAAAAAACTAAGCCTGAAGGGTTAAAAAGCACTGATAATTAGTAACAGAACTGAGGCTTTAGCCCCAGGCCTAGACTCTAGGTCCAGTCTGCTTTATTTATCCTTCCTTCCTTTCCTCCCTCCTCTTCTTAAATAAACGTGAAGGAGGAAATGTGAACACTCTCCTAAAAGCAAAGCATGCCCTCATCTCTTACTTTAAATAAAGCAGAAGGAGGAGGAGGAAGAAAAAAGAGAAGGAGAAGAGGGAAAGAGAGAGAGGAGAGGAGAGAGGTTAAAAAGGGGGAGAGAGACTGGCACGAAAACAGAAATACAGACCAATGGAAGAAGATGGAAAGCCCAGAAATAAACCCATGCACCTATGGGTAACTTATCTTTGACAAAGGAGGCAAGAATATACAATGGGGCAAAGACAGCCTCTTCAATAAATGGTGCTAGGAAAACTGGACAGTTACATGTAAAAGAAATTAGAACACTCCTAACACTATACACAAAGATAGACTCAAAATGGATTAAAGACCTAGATGTAAGACCAGAAACTATAAAACTCTTAGAGGAAAACATAGGCAGAACACTCAATGACATAAATCAAACCAAGATCCTATATGACCCACCTCCTAGGGTAACGGAAATAAAAACAAAAGTAAACAAGTAGGACCTGATTAAACTTAAAAGCTTTTGCACAGCAAAGGAAGCTATAAGCAAGGTGAAAAGACAACCCTCAGAATGGAAGAAAATAATAGCAAATGAAACAACTGACAAAGGATTAATTTCCAAAATATTCAAGCAGCTCATACAACTCAATATCAGAAAAACAAACAACCCAATCAAAAAGTGGGAAAAAGACCTAAACAGATATTTCTCCAAAGAAGACATACAGATGGCTAACAAACACATGAAAAGATGCTCAACATCACTCATTATTAGAGAAATGCAAACCAAAACTACAATGAGATATCACCTCACACTGGTCAGAATGGCCATCATCAAAAAGTCTACAAACAACAAATGCTAGAGAGGATATGGAGAAAAGGGAACACTCTTGCACTGTTGGTGGGAATGTAAATTGATACAGCCACTATGGAAGACAGTGTGGAGATTCCCTAAAAAACTAGGAATAAAACCACCATATGACCCAGAAATCCCACACCTAGGCATCTTCCCGAGGAAACCAAAATTGAAAGAGACACATGTATCCCATTGTTCACTGCAGCACTACTACAATAGCTAGAACATGGAAGCAACCTAGATATCCATCAACAGAGGGGTGGGATGGGGAGGGAGGTTCAAAAGGGAGGGGATATATGTATACCTATGGCTAATTCATACTGAGGTTTGACAGAAAACAGCAAAGTTCCATAAAGCAATTATCCTTCAAAAAAAATAATTTTTTTAAAAAGTGGGGAGGAGAGAGGTTAAAAAGAAGGGGACAAAATAAAGAAGGGATGAGAAGGGAGAAGCAACAATTTAGATGTACATCTCATTCCAGGACTCTACCATGGGAAAGTCGATAAACTTACAAAAATCGGAACAAAACCACAGAAGAACCCTAAACATGTTTGGAGAAATCTAATGGGAGAGTTCTGAAAATGTGGGGTCCTTGCCTACCAAAGCAACCCTGACATGACAAACAAAAACCACACCGTTTAGAGCTGATGCCAGTCACCATCAGGCACCATAATGGGCTGTCAGTTCTATTGTCTTATGGCACCAAGAACAATGCATTGTTATAACACACATTTACCATACTCACTAACCCTATAAAAATGTTGAAATCTTTAATGAATTAACAAAAACCTAAAGAATGAGGGCCTTGAGGAGAAAACTGCTACACTAAAAATATTCTTGAAGTCAAAACAATAACTTTCAGATTAAATTTCCCCAAATTTATGGAAAAATAAAAGTTCAGGGTTTAAGTTGAAGGATATGGATTTTTAAAGTATGTGTAATAGCCCCCAAAATATTTATATCTGTTATTCAACTCACTGTTGAAGTATCAATGATGCTTTTCTCTCTTCCATCAATGTCATCATCTTCATCTTCATCACTGAAATCTGCAGCTGCACTTTCAAGGAATTTAAAATTATCCAGCACGGAGGCAGAATCTGTTAACTCGGATTTTCTGGTTTAAAATATATACATTTTGCTCAGTTAATTTTTTAAACTCAGCGTAAGAATTAATCCATGATATACTGCACTGACTTCTGTTTATATTGAATTATAAGCCCCCCCCAAATCACACTAGGATCTACACTGATTCTTATCTATTACATTTCCATGGATTTTAACTTGGAAAGCAATATATGAAGAAACTGGTTACTCTTTTAAAAAAGTACTTTTCAATCATAGCTACTACTTAGATTAATGGCAATCTAATACAAAGAACTCTTCCTTCTGATTTAGTATTATTTTGATTATTAAGCCAAACAATGCATTTCTCTTTGAAATATTTTTATTATCTCTGCCTCTGTTTTTCTCTATCCTTTTTTCTTTCTTCAACTCTTCCTCTTCCATAACTAAGAAAATAACTAGCAGATACAGAATTTTCTCTGATGCAATCTCGTATTTCTAAACAGCTAAAGAGTTGAAAAAAGCAAATGTGTATATGAAGCTTACTAAAAACAGTATTTTAGTTTAATATACTACTATAAAATGATCTTACTGATCAATAAATCCTTAATCTGGAAATGATTAACTTTTCAAATATGTGAGATTTTAATTTAGCTCTCTCTAAAGAAATTCATCAATTTCCTAATGACCAGAATAGAATGACTGCTCTCCAGTTCATTAGGAAATGTTTTAGATAACAAGACATTTTCCTAAAAAGCGTTTAGCCATAACTATGAACAAAATTCTCAAAACAGGTAAATCTTAAATTTCAAATCTGCTGGGAGCTATGTTTTTGTTCTTTTCTAACCTACTCTCCATCCTTACAGAAGATTCAGGATAATACCTTTATCAGTTTCAAAAGACAGGTCAAGGCCAAAACATAAGACTAGAGTGGCCTTTCTTAAGCATCTTTATAATAATTTAAACTAATTCATTAGGTGAAATATAATCAGGATTAATGCCCACACTGTCTATGTCTACACAGAGAAACAATCTACATCTTACATTTATGAAATAAGTTATGTAATCTTAACTATTAATGAGCACATTTAAGAATGCTCCAATGACATTTGTTTACAAGACATATGTTTAAACTTTTACCTAAACCCCATAATTTTAGTTTATGTCCCAAATAACAGAAACTATGTTCTTACTAGAAAATGTACAGAGCTCAACTAAAACCATTCTTCCAGCCTAAACATGAGTTAAAGTAACATCATATTTAAATTTCAAAGAATCTTTGACTTTTTAATTTAAGAATTATGACAAATTATTTTTTCAATAAAGAAGAATCTCCTTATTAAACCCTTCACCTTCATTTTAAGCAGAATTCAATGTAACTGTATGGTATATGGGCTCCCCTGATGGCTCAGACAATCAGGAATCTGCTTGCAAGGCAGAAGACCTGGGTTTAATCCCTGGGTTGAGAAGATCCTGATCCAAAAAGCAAAATGAAATGTTTCTGCTACTGAATTTTTCACTTATTCTATCAACTAGGAAAAAAAAAAATATATATATATATATATATACACACACACCATACACATATATACTTGAAATAGATATTTTTCAAAATGAAGAGGAGTTATAGCATTATTAGATAAATGAAAATGGCTAAGAAAAGGTTTACATCAAAAGAATTAAGTATTTATATGATTTCTGGGTCACCAAGAATGAAATTTCATTCTTATAGACTTGAAATGAATTTCCAAATAAGATCTTTTATGAAGTTATAATAGTAAGAGGTGACTGAGCTTCAATGAATTAAAATTTATATTAAATCCATAAATTTCAAGCAAATAAAAATACCTTAAATAAAAATATTATTCTTAAAAGTCATAAATGATAACTCTAATCCCTATGTATATCTTCTATCAAATAAAATTTTAAACTTTTTATTAAACTTTATCATTAAATTACTTCTGTAGCAGTACCTGGAAGTGAAAGTATCCACACGTGTCACCCATAAGCCAAAAATATTAATAAGAACTAAAACTACAGCCAAACCACTTTCCAGACAAAATACTTACCCAATCATTGCTGTCTCTTTAACTTCAGCTTCTGTGCCATTTATAACTGAGTCCTGATTTTTGTCATCTTCCCTGTCAGTGACATCACTTGAAATGCCCAACAAAGCTCGCACTCGTTTGGATTTCACATCTAAAATAGTATCTGTGTAACCCACCTCCTGTAGATACCTGTGTGTGAAGAGGATCTTTACAATTCAGACATATCGGAATCAGTACTCTACTACTGGATATCTAAATAAAAACATTTCTTTAAACTCACTGTCTGCGTAAGACTGGATAGCACAGTACTATGCTAGTAAGACTCACTAATAAATAATCTTCCAGCTGCAGATGGAGCTGTCTCCTGCAGTACCAGCCTCTATGGTCACTGAGAAAAACCAAAGAACTATACAATACACCATTCATTTATCGTAAGAAGCAGCTATTCCTTAATATATCTAATATTACATTCTTTCTTCTAGGCAGGGCTGGAGTAAGCTCACTCTCAGATGTTACTAAATTACTATTTTATAATAGTAATGAGAATAACCAGTAGTCTTTTTACACTTTTGATGTTACAGTATCACTGGATCAACTGAGATCTATAGAGAATGTTTCTAGCATATATAGCTTCCTACATGACATACAAAACCGCGGGATATTCCAAACAAGTCACTTCTACAGAAGGGAAGCTCTTATCCTGAGACAACTCTGCAATAAAAATAAACCACAGTTCAACTGTATGATCCTATGTGGGATGAGTGGGTGTACAGGGGTGTGTGTGCTGCAGAAAGGAGAAGCACGGAAAAGAAAGAATAGGTTTTGTATGGAGAGTTAAACATGGGTTCAAAGCCCATTTCTTCTACTTTTTTCCTGTGTAGCATTAATTCTTCTGAACTTTAGCTTTCTTTCTCTTAAAGAAACATATCTAGTGTAGTGCCTGGCATACAAAAGGTGCTCAGTATCTATGAACAACAAAAGATGACCAAAAACAACCAAAAGTGGTAGTGGTAGGAACATGAAAAAGGCAAATGTTAATAATAGAGTCATTAATAAATGTAACAGACAATATCAGACATTAAATTATATGTAAGTATCAAGTCTATGAAATGAAAGATAAAACAAAGATCAAAAAGATAAGCAGTCTAAGATCAGTTTGAGATCTGGTATTAAGAGTTATTATTGCTCAAAGAGATATCTCACAAAAAGACATGTGACCAAACATGTCCAGTATCTATAGAAAGGTTTTAATTAAAATTATAATCAGTTGATTGTTACAAACAAATACAAAAGAATTATGTTTTCTATTTTTAACAAGTAATATTTGATACATAACTAACTTTAGGAACAAAATCACATTACAAATACTGTTTCAAAAACTGCTTGTTCCATAAATAAACTGGTTTTACTAAATAGCTACTTCCTCATTCATTAATATTTAGGTTGGTGCAAAAGTAACTGCGGTTTTGCATTGTTGAACTTTGCCATTTGATACTGGAATACAGTCTTAAATAAATGTGGCTGTTATACATCGTTTTAATGTGCATTTCTCACTTTATGTTTTTTTTGCTTTAATGACTTAGTACTTGCTGCTTATTTTATATGTATTTTAGACTATGGAAATGATGTTAGACAAAAAGCAAATTCAAGCAATTTTTTTAAGTTCAAAATCGGTTGTAAAGCAGCACAGATAACTCACAACATCAACAATGCATTTGGCCCAGCAAACTGCTAACAAATGTACAGTGCAATGGTGGTTCAAGAAGTTGTGCAAAGGAGAGGAGATGATGGAGATGAGGAGCACAGTGGCCGGCCATCAGAAGTTAACAACAACCAACTGAGAGCAACCATCAAAGCTGATCCTCATGCTGGCCTTGGCAGCACATATACTAAAATTGGAATGATACAGAGAAGATTAGCATGGCCCCTGCGCAAGGATGACACACAAATTCGAGAAGCGTTTCATATTAAAAAAAAAAAAAAAAAGCTGATCCTCTTACAACTACAGAAGTTGCCAAAGAACTCAACATCAACCATTCTACGGTCATTTGGCATTTGAAGCAAATTGGAAAGGTGAAAAAGCTTGATAAATGGGTGCCTCAAAACAGAAAAAGAAAAAAAATTGTCATTTTGAAGTGTCGTCATCTCTTATTCTATGAAACAACAACAAACCATTGCTTGATCGGACTGTGATGTGTGATGAAAAGTGGATTTTACAGGACAACTGGCCATATTCATCTGACTTCTCGCCAACCAACTACCACTTCTTCAAGCAACTCAGCAACTTTTTGCAGGGGAAATGCTTCCTCAACCAGCAGGAGACAGAAAATGCTTTCCAAGAGTTCATCAAATCTTGAGGCATGGATTTTAACGCTACAGGAATAAACTATCTTATTTTTCATTGGTAAAAATGTGTTAATTTTAATGATTCCTATTTTTATTAATAAAGATATGTTTGAGTCTAGTTATAATAATTTAAAATCCATGATCTGAGACCACAATTAGGTCTGCACGAAGCTAATAAAATGTCACCTCTGAGAGGCAGGTGAGTCTTTTAAAAATACTTCTTGGATTGCTATCATAACCACTTGTCATTTAAAAAAAAAAAAGGAACAAAATCAGGACTTTAAGAACACTTATTTATTTATAAAAGGAAAACACATAAACCACTTTTAAGACCACAGTGAAAGCCCACGTATTAAATACTAATGAAGTCTCATTTTCTTCTAACTTTGAGGAGATAAAAAAATAGATGTAAGGAGAAACTTTAACATCCTCTCCCCATTATCAAAAGAAATGACTGGCATGCAATCCACTTTAGAAACAACAGGTTTAGATTATTCACAAGCCCAAGAGAATAAACCAGGGAGCAAATCTCATTTTACTGAGATACAAATCAAACTACCAATTTCAAATGTAACATGCAAGGGTTAGGCACTGAGTTGATGAGCAGGTCTAGCCCCTCTGCTTGACACCTGAATCTCAACCCAGCGTTGGTCCCTCTTTATACTCTCAAATTCAACATTTTATAGGAGAGACTATATGTTAGCATAATATATACAAATTTGGGAAATCCAATAAGTTCTCCCATCTATTTAAAATAAAGTTTAAAAACATAACATAAAGATATCATGAATAGATTAATAATATAGCATATGTATATTCATATATAAAAAGTGGAAAGAAAAAGTAACTAAGGGTACAGAATTCTTCAGACCATACATTTAAACATATAATAAATTAGAAGCTCTCAACTGTACTTTTTGATAAAACTAATCTATGGATAGATAAAGCTAATCTATGGATTATTTGCTATGGAAAGCAAAATCTATTCTTGATAATCCTAGTTAATATTTATTGAAAAATAGATTCCTCCATAGGGGAAAACATGTTTAATATGAAAAAGGAATAGTAATTCAATGAAGTTTTTTCATAGCAGATACTTTCACAAGATACTTACTGTCTGAGTAGTTGCCGACCTTGCTTCCACATTAACTGGCTGTTTTGTTGTGGCTGTACCTCTGTTTCATTACCTTCATCTGGAAAACATTAAAACATAAAAAAAAAACTGATGTAATATACATTAGAAGACATCTCAATTCATTAGAAATATCCAATAAAAATTTATAAGATTAAGAACACTGCACTGTAAAGTATGTTTTTCGTGCATGCTGTGCTCAGTCATTCCAACTCTTTCCAATTCCATGAACTGTAGCCTGCCAGACCCCTCTATCCATGCAGTCTTCCAGGTCCGTTTCAGGACAATTTAAGTTTAATTTCCATGTGCATGTGTGCTAAGCTGCTTCAGTCATGTCTGACTCTCTGTGACCCTATGAACTGCAGACCGCCAGGCTCCTCTGTCCATGAGAGTCTCCAAGCAAGAATACTAGAGTGAATTGCCATGCCCTCCTCCAGGGATCTTCCCAACCCAGCAATCGAACCTGTGTCTCTTATGTCTCCTGCACTGGCAGGTGAGTTTTTTGGGGGTTTTTCTGTTCTTTTTTTTTTTTTTAAACCACTGGTGCCACCTGGGAAACCCCTTAATTTCTTATGGAAACTCTAAAATAAATTCATTATTGCTACTAGATTTCCCTGAGAGTTTCAGAACTAAAAGGCCTTTTCCCCACTTTTCAGGTAACCTGAGAATTTTCCTCTAGGACAAATGAAGTCACACAAGAATTAAATAAAAGTATTATGAAGCACCACATCAGAATGAGAACTAAATGCCCAGGAATGACTACTTAGAAGGAAGGGGGGGGAAAGCCTGTCTGGTAAAGAATAGATAGATAAAAAATAATCCCAAACCAAACCTATTTCCTTCACTAGTTATTCAATGAAAGCCTCAAGCTTTTTCTTAAGACATTCTTTAGATGGAAACTTCCAGGTCCCATAGAGCTTAAAATTCATCATATGGTAGAAGCCAAATCTTTCAAGAAGATGATAAAATAAAAAGAGCCTTCTCCTTGATACATCCGGACTAAACAATTTCCAAACTACAGGATAGCTCAACTTTAAAAACATAAAAAAAGTTTACACCCTCCATTAGCCCTTGATCAAACTATAAGAAACTGTGGTCTTCATAGGATTTTTATTCAAGTGGAGCTATAAGAGAGATCGGGAAATTTTCTTTTATGATATTTGATATAAAACATTTAATGTGCTCCAGATGCTGTGCTAAAAACATATACACTATTCTTTTAATCTTTACAACCTCCAAAGACAGGCACTATTACTATCCCCATTTTAAAGATGAGAGAGATGTTTTGCAAATTAATTGTAAGGTTTCTAAGTTAGAAATACAGCTGCAAGTACTGAAATCATGACTGCATGACTCCAGAGCTCACATGTTTTTCTCCACATGCTATCATTACAATGGTAAGAAATTAGAGAAACATGTAAATAAAAATAAGAATTATATCTTGCATTTTCATTATTCTCTTAAAGTAACTAGACCAAGTTCTGTGACATACCAAAGAGAGAGTAGGAAGGTTGGGCTGGGGGGGTGTTGGGTGGAGATTAACTCACAAAGGAAGATTACTTTGGGATAACTTCAAAGAGCATTTACTTGAAAAAGAAAAAAGGAAAGAAAAACCATGTCTAAATAGTAAGGAAAAATAATACATTGTTTCCACTTACCCACACATTCAGGAACTGTGCATATAACATAATATGTTCTAATATAGCCACTTCTTAGGTCAAGTGAGTAACCTGTACTTGCCATGTAAGAATATCTACACTGGCATTTCAAAAGACCAAAAATTTCAGATGCGAAAGAACTTTTGAGATCATCTAATTTCCCATCAAAATATGCCTAAATCCTTTCTGTACCATCCTCAGATACACTCAACTGCCTTTGTCTACTTTGGTAGCTAGAAAGGTGAATTTTACTGTAAATAAATTATACCTTAATAAAAAATAAAGCCAAATCAAATAATGCATCCTTACCCTCTTTTAAAAACTATATTCTTATATTGCAATAAAATCCGATCCCTAAGTGGTCATTTTATAATATATTAAAATATCAAACCACTATGTTGTATACCTGAGACTAATATAATTATACTTTAAAGAAAAAAAGAAAGGACTATCTTGTCTCAGTTAACCCAGCTCTATGACAAAAACAGCAAGGTTATGAACTGCTGCTTATTATATCATTACACACTGGATCATGACTAGACTCCAGATGACTGCAAGGGAACAAATGAAACCTTATATATATATAATCACCAGTATATAATATAACCAGTCACAACACTCGGGAGGAATGAAGAGTGTCAAAGACCTACAGAGCCTGAGGAGGCCTTATCTCCTTCACAATGGATTTGAGGAAACTGCTTACCTTGGTTTTTTATTAGATTAATGTATGAATTAATGATCTAAGACCATGTCTGTGATCAAGACCTTAACCAAACAAACATAAGACAGGCGCTTTACTCAACATTACCAAATCTATTTTCCACTGACGCAGAGAAATAATCAATGGTATAGCTGTCTATAGAGCAGTGAGTTTCAATACCTGCAAATAATTATAAAGACAGAAATAGTGATTTTGAATAAATTTCTCAGAAGTGAATGTTCCTTTCTCTGTTTAAAAAAAAAACAAACAAACTTGACTCTCCGGGTCACATGTGGACTTGACTTTCCCGACACTCCCTTATCCAGGCTAAACATTTAGTTCTCTCAATGGTTAGTAAGTACTCATCAACTATCAGATTCATTCTTACCTTATCAAGTTCAAAAAGTGACATTATATAAAAGTGAGGATTTTAAAGTGGGTAGGAATTCAATTTCTGGGTAATATTAAAAGTATTTGACTGGCATTTCCAGTCAAGTTGGAGTAACAGGGACCCAAGTTACCCTCCTGCCTGAAGCAACTATAAAACAAAACAGAGCATACGACGGTTAAGACACTGAACATCAGACAATGAAGGGTAGCAATTCTGAGGAAAAGGAAGCAAACAGGTGAGCCTTATGATTGTTCCAGTTTATTGCCCTGACAGAGTTTCCTGATCGTAGCATAGGGAGGAGAAACCAAAAGAAAAATGAATATATAATGGCTGAGAAGTTCCAAATTTCATGAAAACTATAAACCCATAGATCCAAGAAACCCAACAAATCCCAAGCACAAGAAACACTGGGGAGAGGAGGGGAGGTAACTATACCAAGGCACATCATGATAAAATCGCTTAAAACCAATGAGAAAGAGATAAATCTTAAAAGCAGTCAGAGAAAAAGGTCACATATACAGAGGAAAAGGGGCGACAGAGGATGAGATGGTTGGATGGCATCACCGACTCAATGGACGTGAGTTTGAGCAAATTCTGGGTGACGGTGAAGGACAGGGAAGCCTAGTGTGCTGCAGTTCATGGGGTCGCAAAGAGTTAGACATGACTGAGGGACTGAACAACAACAAATATACAGAGAAATGTATGGATGACAGAAGACACCACATCCGAAACGATAAAAGCAACAACATAAAGACTTTCAGACACACAAAAGCTGAAAGAAGGCATTATCAGCAGCACATGTGTTAAAGTCCTCAAGACAGAAGGAAAATGATACCGGAATATATGAATGCACACAAAGGAAAGATGAGCACTGGATATCTACATTTTTTACGTTATTTAAATCTCTTTGAAAGAGAATTGCTGAAACAAAAATCGTAATGTAGGGTCAACCCAGGGATTGAACCCATATCTCCTGCATTGGCAAGTGGATTCTTTACACTGAGTCACCTGGGAAGCCAGTGAAAGGTCTAAACATCTTAGAAGGCAGAATTTGTTACTTTGGATAAAGACACTCTATTTTTAATAAGTATCTGGCTTTTAATATTAAGCAAAAGAAACTGACATATGAAAGATAAATAGATTTTAACATAAGTTATGAAGTAGAAACGTTAAGGGTTTGCAAGTGGAATAAAATAGGAAAAAAAAAGAGAGGAAACTAATATTTGTGGAGAATATTTCAGAAAACATCTGGATTGTCAATTTTAGGGAAATACAGTAAATGGATAAAATAATGAAGAAGGAAAAATCCCTGCTTCTTTTCTTTAATTTGGATACACCACCTTCTATACCTTCTTCTAGTCACTGTCCTTACCACTTAATTTACAAACCTCTTGGTAATGCTCTAAGTCAGGCTCACATGCTTCCTCTGCAACCAAACTTTTACATCATCTTGAGTGAAGTTAACATTCAAGTGGGTGGTTCACTTCAGCTTCTGCACAACCACCAGCCTCTCTTAGCTGTCACACCTTAGACCTTGTCATTATGAAGAACTGTCACTGATGCAAACTCACTTTCTGAGCATATCCTTCAGGCTCAATACTTCCAATTCACTAGGCTCTTTGACTTTAGGTGGGACCTTAGATCAGGGGTCAGCAAACATTAGCCTGCAGATCAAACCCAGCCTGTTTGGGCTTCCCCGGTGGCTCAGACTGTAAAGCATCTGTCTGCAGTGCGGGAGACCAGGGTTCGATCCCTGGGTTGGGAAGATCCCCTGGAGAAGGAAATGGCAGCCCACTCCAGTACTCTTGCCTGGAAAATCCCATGGACGGAGGAGCCTGGTAGGCTACAGTCCATGGGGTCGCAAAGAGTTAGACATGACTGAGCTACTTCACTTTCATTTTTCAAGCCCAGCCTGCCACACTTATTCATTTATGTGTTGTGGCTGCTTTCAAGTTACAACAGCCAAGCTGAGTAGTTGCAACAGGGAACAAGTGGCCTACATATTACTATCTGGTCCTTTACGAAAGAGTCTGCTGACTTGCCCTAGATTGTAGCCTATCCACTTGCTTTGATCCATTAGCTTCCTTCTGTCTTCACTTTCTTTCCTCACCAGTCTTAGTTCAGGGTCTATCAATCCAATCATTCTTTTGATAATGTCTCCAATTTTCCTGTTCCTTTATCTCTCCCTGAATCCAAATGTTCACTATTTTCATTCTATTATCTTTTACCTAGGCTGCCAATTGTGCAGAGCAGCACTTCTCTACAAACTCTAATTATACAACTCAATTGAACCCTTAGCTTTTCTCAATCCTACTATTCCTTAGTAAGTTTGTCCTCCTGTTCGTTATTATTTTAAACCTTCTTCACTCTTCTTAAACCTCTGATGCATTTTTAGCAGGTAATCCTGTCTCATACATAAAGCTATCATGTTAAATAGCCACCACTAGACCAAAACCCAAACCTATAGACCCATCACCTAACTTCCGACATTCTCTCTTGGTAACAATAAAAGACTTGCATGCCTCTCCTGCTATTCTCCAGCTAAGATCAGAATCCAATCCCTATTATTTCTTCAGATACTTTCATATTTTAAGTATCGCTATTCTCTCTCCCTTTTATTAGTTCCTCCTCTAAGAAACATATCACTCACTCACTCACTCACTCACACACACACAGATACAAACAAACACACACTCTGTCTCTTCATTGACTCCATTGGTCCCTTCAGCCATTTCCCCTTAATACCTTGCCTTCACCTCCACAACCTCAGCTTTCTAAAAGTTTACCACACTTAGTCTTCACTTTCCACACACAGTCTCCATTTCTGCCCTCAACTCTCTCCTAAGGCTGTTCACAATAAAGATTCCAGCGACCTGTGTGTCACTAAATCCCAGAGATACTCTTCAGACCCCAAGGCATTAATCTGTAATACTGAAGGACCCTTCCTCCTGGAAATCCTCTCTTCTCTTTATTTCCACTCTCCTGATTTTCCACATCCTAGTAAAATAATCCTCATCAGTTTCCTTCTCAAGTTTCTACTGTTCTACCAGTTTTCTAAATGCCGCAAGGCTCCATTTAGGTCCTCTTCTTGCTCTGTGTAAGATCCCTGGCTGAGTTCTTCCATCCCATTGGTGTTGAGTGTCATCAGTACAGCTTTATGCTCTGAAATCTATGTATTAAATCCCTATATTTGGCTTGAGCTCTAGACTCACCTGCCCAACTGTATACCAGCTGTTTTCATTTGATGGCCTAACAAATAAATCCAAACGTGCAACCAGCATCTTCCAAATGCAGTTTTGGTCTAGATTTTTATACTAGAAGTGTGGGAGTCATCTTTGCATCTCCCTTTTTAAAAAACCCCTCCATCTAAACAAGAACTAATATCCTGCAGATTTTACTTCCTAAGTATTTCCTGAACACACCCACTTCTCTTCAACTCCATTGTTGGTACATTTGTTAAGGTAACCTTCCTCATTTATTCAGGAGGTTGTAAAATCCTCTAACCAGTCTCCCCATCTCCATTTTTCTCCTCTCTAACCCATCTTTCCAGTAGTCATGTATGGATGTTAGAGTTGAACCATAAAGAAGGGTGAGCACTGAAGAATTAATGCCTCTGAACTGTGGTGTTGTAGAAGACTCTTGAGAGTCCCCTGGAGAACAAAGAGATCCAACCAGTCCATCCTAAAGGAAATCAGTCCTGAATATTCACTGAAAGGACTGATGCTGAAGCTGAAACTCCAATAGTTTGGCCACCTGATGAGAAGAACTGACTCACTGGAAAAGACTGAGGCTAGGAAAGATTGAAGGCAGAGGAGAAGGGAACGACAGAGGATGAGATGCTTGGATGGCATCACTGACTCAATGGACATGAGTTTGAGTAAACTCCAGGAGTTGGTGATGGACAAGAAAGCCTGGCTGCTGCAGTCCATGAGGTTGCAAAGAGTCGAACATGACTGAGCGACTGAACTGAACTGAACCCATCTTTTCATACTGCTGACAGCATGATTTGAAAGAACATCTGATCATCAAAACACAATAACAAAAAAACATCAGTGATCAATTGGTACTGCTCTAAATCTCAAGGATTCAATATTCAGCTGTGGAAACATGTTAATAACATTACTACATTAAAGTGAACTGAAAAACTTGCCAGTTTTTTAGGAATTAGGAATTATTCTGTTCCTTCATACACTGTCAAACATAGAAATAGTGTGGTCAAATGGGGAGAATTTGAATTTTGGAGTCAGAAGATCATAATCCCATTCAGATCCATAATTCCATTAACAGCTGTGTAACCCCTGGGGAAACTTCTCCACTTCTCTGAGTTTAAATTTCATACAAGTAAAATTAAAATAATATTACTTTTATTGTATAATTACATTAAGAATTAAAGTTAATGTATATAAAGCCCAGCATGTGATAGTCAGACATTTGATCCAGTAATTTAACCTGACATCACGTCAAAAACACATTCATCTGAAACGTGGTGATGGCTTTTCAACAATTTTTCTTACTTTTCCCTAACACCTACTAATATATTAGTCAATTATATTACTTAATATCTTTACAAGTACTACTGTTACATTGTTTGATGGGGTGATGAGGAAGACAGGAGAAAGAAAAAGGAAGAAATAATACAAAAAGATAATAAATGCTTCAGCTGTTAAAAACACTGTCCTGGTTACAGAACGTCCTGTGGGTAAAAAAGTCCAAAACAATTTTGCACCTGAAATTGAGGGATTAGACTTAAAGGATGAGTAATTCTCTTGTACTGAAAGAAGAAATCTCTTACCTCCACGGCTCATACTCTTTCTCTCAGGATTTTAGGGCATGATGTACTTTGTATTACACATCTCAAAGTTCCCATTAAAATTGTGGGGACCCAGCAAGACACAGTTATGCTGGTGCATGTTACCCCATGAATTCTGATCCTTCCAGTAAGTGCAGAACACAAGCAGAAAATGGGGAACTGCAAGAAAGGGGACGAGGGGAAAGGGAGGAAGGTGGTGGAAAATGATCTAAATGACACTAAGAGATTAGTGCCCAAAGATAAGCAGGTCAAAAAAAATAACTAATATGCAAATAATTAGAAATTAACTTGCAGTTATAAATACTGTTGCTACAAAGTACTGGATATTAACTTCTTTTTAATTACTTAAACTTCCTTTAAAATTAGCTTACCAGAATCATAGCTTGGAGGCTTCATATCTCCCTGATTCAATTCTGTCCCATATTTCAACTTGTGGTATTTGGCTCTAACAAAGAAATAAGAAAATACAAACCATCTTAAAACACAGTTAAATGAACCTTAAGATATGTAATAGGAGTAGTCATCAGTATGCAGTAGTCCTGACTAACTTTTAACTGTTCAAAGCCTTCCACAGTATCAAAGTCTTAATATACAAGTGCTTCCCATTATCATTTTGCTTTTATACCATCAAATTCTGTTACAACAAAAAAGTAGTAACACTGAGAATGATAAATCTTGTTTCTATAATTATGAATGAACCATGTAACATTCTAGTTTCTGCAGTATTCAAATTTTCTTGAGGACTGCCAGAGTACAATTCTATCAAAAGCAATAGATAAGTTTGTATTGTGAAATAAACTTGAAAAAGACTAATCTTTCTCAAAGTTGAATTATTCTTCCTTAAGAAAAAAAGGTCACCCATAATACTCTGCATTGTCAGGCAATTATGCTTTCCCAAGTACACATTAGAGTGAACAATCCAAAAGAGGGAGGAGGAATCAGCTCGAATTATCAGTGTTGAATAAGACATTCTAGAAGAAATAAACATATTTTTTAACAGTCAAGGTATCTTTTGCCTTTTTAGGATGAAGTCAGGAAGAACTGTGAACAGGAGTATTTTCTTTTAAAAGTTAACTAGATGTTATCATCTCTGTTTCATCTGATTTAACCATCTCAGATTAAACCACCTAAGATTAGAAAAATAATCCAAATAAGGTACAAAACTAAAAGGTAAACTAAAAATGAACCATACTTAAGGTTGTATATTTTTACTTGCTTGCTTCCCCCAAATATTGAGGCTGTTATAATATTCAATATAGTAAGACTGGGATAAAAGCAACAACAATAATAATTTGAAAAACCAAATAATAAAGAAGGCATAAGGGCTTCCCATGTGCTGCTAGTAGTAAAGAACATGTCTGCCAATGAAGGAGACATAACAGACTTGGGTTTGATCCCTGGGTCAAGAAGATCCCCTGAAGGAGGGCATGACAACCCATTTCTAGTATCCTTGCCTGGAGAATCCTATGGACAGAGGAGACTGGCAGGCTACAGTCCATAAAGTCACAGAGAGCTGGAAGAGACTTAGCACACACAGTGGAACAGAGTTAGCACACACTTATGCATGTTAAGGGCAACCAAACAGCCAAATTGGTAAGTTATTTTTTTCTTCATAAAAGACTAACTGAGCACTTACTTTAAAATTTTTATATTTCAAGAAAAGGATAAATAAAATGAAAATCATTTGCTCAAATGTGTAAAATATTGGAATTCTTCATCCTATTTTGAATTAATTATTTTCCAGTCATAGCAGGAAAAAAATTAAAATTTTATATAGAGGGGAATGTTAAAAATCTCTGAAAATTACAGATAACTGATGTTCTATTTCTTAAGGTAAGTGGTGGGTAATTAGTATTTTTTATATTAATATTTATATGTTTTGCATATATATGAAAAGTTTTGTGATAATATATACACACTAAAAGGAAAAAAGAACATCTTTGTGTGCAAATGTGGGATTGAGCTTTAGACTAAAGTAAAAAAAAAAAATAAGGCACAAAATATTGTGTGTGTGTGTGTGTGTGTGTGTACATTTCTGTGTGTTTTATGTGTGTGTGTTATGGTTTTCAAATGTAATGGTCAATCTTCAGATTTTTCGGAAATGTACTTCATCTACCATAAGCTAAAGTAACAATACCTCCTATAAGTCAAAATAGAAATTGAAAGTAATTGGCCTGAAGACAGAATAAAGGCAGCAAGGAAGTTTTATGGAGTTAACTTAAATATTTTTGTGTTTTATATATATATAATTTATATACACACAGGTACATATATAAACACATAGATACATGAAAAAAAATTTCAAACCCAAAACACTGCACCATAGTGCATCCTAGTGGTCTTGGGAAAAACTACAACAGAGCTTACAGAAAAGGGAAGGAAAATATTCTATACAATGTATGTAACAAAGCACTATGAATAACCTTTCAAAAAAAACTAGATAAAGACAAAATAAAGAACTGCTGTGTTTGCTACAAGCTGTGTTCCCATAAAGCAGGGTCTCCTCACTGAATTGTTAAATTCACTGAAAAACAATTTACTCACAGAACTCAACTTAGTAACATTTCTTTTGAAGTCAATACGCTAAAATACCTTCCCACTTACATTACTTCCCATTGCTTTAACCCTTCATCTCACTGTTCCCTAATCTTTTTCTATCTATGTCTGACTCCATGTTTAACGGTAAATCTCATGCCTAAGAACTCTACATTTGATACATAGCTACGCCTCCCAACTGCCCTTTACTGGATAAAACTGCATGAAAATTATATAATTATGATATATTAAAGATATTAATGACATCCCATTACGGTTTTGTTTCAAAGTCAATTATTACATATGATATGCTTCGAATATAACACAGCATTCCAACCTCACTTTAAATGTTGACACTTAAAAAGAAGGTAACACACACGATTTTAGCTAAACCTCAAAACCTGCAATCAGTTTTACAATCAGACAAATGGATTGATGAAGAAGGTATTTTGGTCAGAAGGAATGTCTTAAGAGTGGGGGAGGGGGTGGAAACCCACAGTGTGTGTGTGTGTGTGTGTGTGTGTGTGTGTTTGTGTGTGTACAGGACTAGAAACAGGACTGGATGTAAACGGTTTCACTAAGGATTCTGAAATTAGCTAGATATCTTTAAGCAAGGATATAACATTTGTGATTTAGAAAATGAATCCCATGGATGTAGAAAATAAAGATTAGAATGAGAAAACGTATTAGAGGTAAGGATGATAGCTGGGCTTTTACATTAGAGCAGACACAAAAGAGATGTGGAGCAAATGAAAGAAATGTTTCAGAATTATATTTTAATAGTACTTGAGATTCTTCAGTATAGAACCTCCTGAAAAAACCTGAGGTTACACCCCGTGTGTTCTTGGAAAATTATATGTAATTTTCTCATTTTGTGAATTTTATCACCCTTTAAGGAATGCTTTGTTAAACCCACACTAGGTGAGTAATCCTTCTGTAATGTTAAAGATTCAGTTTTACTTAACTGTGGACCTTTTTAAGTGGGACTAGTTAGAAAATCTATAACCAGCAACTCAAAACCATGATTCTCAGTTGAGTTTTTACAGGTTAAATGACAAGATGCCTAGAATTTGCTCTAAAATAGATTGAGATGAGGCAAGACTGACAAAAATGTTAACTGCTGAGGCTTGGAGGTGTCTATAAAAGGTCTCTGTATGTCTGTGTTTCAAATTTTCCTCCGTTTAAAAAAACTTTAAAAAATTGGCGTAAGGCATTAGAAAAAATAATTTCAAAATGAAAAGAACTGAAATGCTTTATAGCTCTAATTTTTTAAAAAAAAATTCCTAGGCATTATAAAAATAATTTTACAGTGAAGAGAACTTAAATGTTTAAGCTCTAATTCACAAAGAATTTTCTTAATTCCTTAATTTATTACACACTTCAGTGGTGCCATACATCAGGAGATTATTCCCGATGTAATGGCATGAAGTTCATGAAGTTCCATGAACTTCAAAAGATATGAAATCAGGGATACTTTTGCAGGAGAATCCCTTTAAATTAAAAAACAAAGAACAATCTTCCCTAGACTCAGCCACTAGCTGTTTATCTTTTCTGTTCTCCAAAGTCAAACTACTTGAAAAAATAAACAACTCTATCTGTCTCCATTCTATCCATCCTTCTCACCTCTCAACCCCCTGTGATCTGGTTTATGTTCCTGCTACCTCACTAAAGCTGCTCTGGCAAGGATACCAACAAGCACCTAAATGGCAAGTCCGGAACTATTTTCAGCACACAACGTACTTATGATTTGTTTGGCATCTGCAATTGTCAAACTCCCACCTTCTCTAGCTTGCTTCCCATTCACTGCTCTCTTCTTCCTTCCCCACCACTCTCTGGTTAATGCTTCTTTGTCTTTTCCTCAAACCACTCCTGCAACTGGCTCCTGCTACCTCTTGTTCCACACTAGCTCTGTCTGTTTCAAAGTTCTTACAATTTTACCCACAATACTGATGATCCCCAAGTACACATCTCTATTCATGAATCCTCTTCTATAACTGCTTTACTACCCTCTTTATTTCTAACTCACTTTATAATTTTCAAACTTTTCTCTCAAGCCAGAAACCTGGGAATCATTCTTGAATTATCTTTCTTATTCATCCCCAATACCAAGTCACCTCCAAATTTTATGGATTCTTTCTAGCTAAAATGTTTCATAGGGAATTCCTTGGTGATTTAGTGGTTAGGATTTGGGCTTTTACTGCCAGGGGCCCAGGTTGAACCCCTGATCAAGGAACTAAGATTCTGCAAACCACATAGTGCAGCTAAAAAATATAATATTAGAAGTAAAAAATAAAATGTTTCATAGTTGATGACTCCTTTATTCCAGCAGTTAAAATGATATCATTTCTCATCCTAAACTATGACAATTTTCTGGCCTCTATTAACAGATCTTTTCCGTTCATCCCCCAAACTAAGGTCAGAGTGATTCTCTAAAATCTACTGAACACTATTCTGTGCTCAAACCTTTCAACTGTACAACAAATAAATGCAATATATATTCCTAGACTAGACCCTGGACCAGAAAAAAAAAATACTATAGAGATTATTACCGGCATATTTGGTAGGAAAAAAATGCTATAAAGATCATTACTGGATCGCTTCTGGGCCTTCTGACTAAGATCAAGTGTATTAAGATCATCATTGGAACATATGAATATGGGCTATATTACATAAAAGAACTATGTTAACATTAAATTTCCTTAATAATGAACTGTAGTTATTTAAGGGAAAGTCCTTGTTCTTAGAAGATACTCTCTTAAGTATTGAGGGGCAAAGGGATACAAGTCTGCAAACAAGTAGCAAATGACTGGGGGGGGGGAGGCAGGGGAGGGGGAAGACATGAGTATACAGAGAGCATGATACAAGTAAATACAGCAAAATGTTGTCAACTGGTGAAATCTGGTAAAGAGTATATAGTTTGTTCAAGTTCGATTAGTTTGAGATTATTTTAGAAGAAAATGTTTTTAAAAAACTTCCAATGTAAGACAGAAGTTTGAACTCCTTAGTTAGGCTCTTCATGATCAGGCTTTTGCCCACCTCTACCATTACAGCTTATAAATTACAACTGACACCCCTAACTTTCATACACAGTAATCACAAATTTCTGAACACACCATACTGCTTTGTCCCATGTCAAACATACCATCTCCACGTCCTGAACCTTGGCAAACAGCTTATTTTATATGATGCTGTTCATGTTCCACCTCCTCTAATTACACCCTCCTTTCTACTTCCACAGACTGCAGATCCAAATAACCACTCCCTTCTTTGTACCCTGGGTACCACTGTATCCTGTGCTGACTTCTCCCATAGCATCTCAGTTACTACACTGCACTTTTGTGATTTATGAGTCTGCTTCCTGCTACTCTTAGCTGTGAAGGACAAGAACTGTGACTTGCTTGTTCCCAATTCCAGCACAGGACTTAAACTGGATGGATGGATTAATGAATACGTTATTGAGAAGGGAAACACACACACACACGCACACATACACACCATATCCGTGTCCTTGGTTAGTTTAGTATTTGTATATTTTAATTTTCCTGACTTATAAGATAGTATAATGTACTGGTAGAGTACAAGCTTCAGAAGCAGACAAAACAGAGGGATCCAAATCATAGCTCTACTGTAACTCTGCAAGTCTACCTAAGTTATTTAGTTTTTAAGCCTCAAGGTCTAATACATAGTAGTTAATAAATAGTTATTATTACTGTTATCATGCTCTCTTTGATTATGCCTATCATTGCTTAGAATCTCAGATATTCCCCAATTACACACTTTTAAAAGTGTTCTCCCCGCACCTTCCCAAAACAGCTTTCAATCAACCTCTCAACGAATGAAAAGAACCACCAATTTTTCAATAAGAAGTCAATCTGTTTTCAGTCTCTTGTGCCATTTAAAATCCCACATGAAGGTAAACACAACTAATAAAGTTTTATATCTCTTGATATTCATAAATATCATCTGCTAAATGTTATTTTATGGTAGTTTTTCAAACAAGCCATTCATCAATTTCAAAATGAAAAGGCCATGTGATCAAAAACAAAGCAAAACAGAGAATTTCAATATCACCTATCAAGTACTCAATAATCTAAAACAAAAAATTGTCTCATACTGCTGACAAAAAATTCTAAAGACCATCTGCTAAACAAATACTTGATTCATATGAAAACTTCCAAAATTCTCATCCATGACCTATTGTCCTTTACTTGCAAGCCAACTTTAGTTCTTGAATATTTTCAACACTGAGCAGAATAGAAAGGTAAGATTCACTTTTGGAGAGATATGAATAGGTGATAGCAAAGGCTCAAAATATCAAAAAGAAAGATTCTCAACGGAGTCTGCCAGAGCAGGTTTTTTCCATGGAAAATACATCAAACTGAATAATACTAGATGATAGGAAAAGGGAGTAAGTATTATAGAAATTTCCTTTACAACTCAAAAACTACTTCAATTCTATAAAGAAATGGATATTGACAGTTCAGGAAGTATACACATTTTCAATTCTATAAAGAAATGGATATTGACAGTTCAGGAAGTATACATATTTTCAATTCTATAAAGAAATGGATATTGACAGTTCAGGAAGTATACACATTTCTTCAGAAAGGGCAGAGTAAGGAAAAAAGTTGCTAAAATTTTAAAAACCATATACATCAGCTTTTGGTCATTATTACTAAACATTCATTAACAAATTAACATATAGCAACCATTTCTAAATGTTTGTTTCAAATACTAGTTCCTGATTTTAAACAGAATACATTAAAATTTGAACTGTTTTAGAAGTAACAGAAAAATTATTCCAGTATTTTAAGAGAACACTACTTTCCATTTTACTGAATTACCTTTCTTGTTTAAGAGCATATTCCAGCATTTTGATTCTTCTCACAAGATCCTTCTTCAAGTTTTCTTGACCTTTCCTTTCCCCCTGAAGAAAGGCAATCTGAGCCTGAGTAAGGAAAAGAAAAACAAAATGCAGTTTAGATGAAATCAACTTTTTAAAACTCAGTTGAAGAACCTTTGGAAGATAAAACAAATATAAAAACATTTCTTTTTACATATCTGTCACAAAGTAAACAGAAAGGCACTGACTGCAAGGGGTGGAAAGCTGAACTTTTTTCCTTTAAAGGACATCTATATGCATTTTACTTCAGACCACAGATGTTAAGACAACCAACATGAGTGCAGACATATGCAAAATACAGTTGGGTTTGCTCAAGAGTTTGTCTTTTAAGGCACTAAGGAGTATTCTCCTTTATAAAAAATGAAGACGGAGAACTACTACAAGTTGTACTATTTCGCTTTTAGGTATCTATCTGAAGAGAATTAAAACACTAATTCAAAACACTAGTAAGCATCCTCATGTTCACTGCAGCATTATTTATAATAAATAGCCAAGATATGGAAACTAAGTGTCAATTGACAGATGGCTACTGAAGATATGTATACGTACGTATATATATGTATGTACATGTATAACACACACAACTGAGTATTACTCAGCCATAAACAAATAAAATCCTGTCATTTGCAATAATATAGATGAACCGCAAGGATTTTATGCTAAGCAAAGTCAGTCAGGTAGAGAAAGACAGAAACTGTATGATTTCACTCGCATGTGGAATCTTACAAAAACTAAAGCTGAACAAACAAAACAAAAACAAATACATAAATACAAAGAAGAGATCTGTGGTTACCAGAGGCGAAAAGGGTTGGGGGACAGGCAACATGAGTATAACGGGTCAGCTGTACGGTGATGGATGGTAACTGGACGTGTGGCGGTGATCATTCTGCAGCATTTACAGATATTGAACTATAATGCTGCACACCTGAAACTTAGACACAGTTTATTTTCAGAGTGAAGACGAGGAAAGTGGGCAAAGCAAAACCATGAGTTCTTATAATAAGCTTTGTAAAATAAAGAGTTTTCTGAGCTTCACCATCTACTTAAATTTTATGATGGATTCCTTGTCTCCAGAGACTTTATCCTGGACATCTACAAATAAAGAATAACTGCCTTTTCTCAATCCCCACCTTTAACCCCACCCCCATTTAGATTCTCTATGCAGGGGTAAAGAAAGTGAAAGGTGGGAAAAGGAAAATCAGAGCCAGTGGCCCTCCATAGTTTCCTGTCCCTTCCCAAGTATTACTAAAGAAAGAAAAAAAAATCCCTACATTTTAACACGAATAAATTGTAATACTCTCATCTTCAGTCAAACAAAAGGGGATAGGAAAGAACAGTCGGTCAGAATAACTAAAAAATACATTTAGAACTGAAATACCACCTTCTTAAGGAATTAAAACTTAAGGAATTAAAAACTATGTTACAAGTACTAATTTGTTAAAGTAACTCATAACACCACTAGGAGTGTGGCAGAAGATCTATCTACTTAAAGGCCATCAAAGACAGCTATCAGTTTCACTATTCTCACATTCCTTCCCCTCTCATTTCTATTATATTAACTCAGATATTGTTATTTATATATCCACAGTGCTTTCCATTTAAGCAACCAAGAAATTACATTTAATGATGGACCTTACAATATCCCTAAGAAATTGTGGATGATTCAACTGAAGGTTTAGTGAATGACCATTAAACTTCTTAGTTTAAACGACACCCATTTCTCTTTTTTCAGTACCATAATAAACATAAAATCCACTCACTGAGCTTCTTGTAACTTTGAGAATGTAGGTACTGTCATGTTTTTGCTGTCATTTCAACAAACTCTTAACATTTACATTGCAGTGACTAGAAGGATTATTTGGCTAAAGATGATTCAATTGTACAAAAAGAGGAAAATGTATCAAATATCTGTAATATCTATACTAAACAATCATAAAACTTTTTGAAATTATTTGTTCTACAATGAGATTATTTTATATAAGCAGAGTAATAATACATGCATTAAAAAGTGACAAAAATGAATGTTGGTGGTATAGTGGTGAGCATAGCTGCCATCCAAAAGGATATGACAGTCCAGCTTATTTGGTCAAACAGTGCTTTGGCCTAGAAGACAGTCTTCAAAGTGGCTTTAATAAAAAAAATAATAATTTAACCAGTATAATCAAATAACCAAAATAATTTTTAAAAATTACCAATTTCTTCCTTTCTATCCCACTTGACTAGTTCTGCATTTCTGCCACCATTCTGTATTTCTCTCCTGGGTGATTCTGACACTGAAGCCTCTAACACTCAAAAATCTTTACTGTGACTCATTCCCCAACCCACCAACTACTTCTTATATTTCCAGGACACTTGCTTCCCCATCCTCCTATCAATTCACATACTGGACTACTTAAATATTTAATATTAAAAGACCCAGAATTGTTGAAAAGAAAGATTACAAGGAAAATGGTGGTGCCTGGAAAAGGCAAAACAAACAAGAAAAATAGGAATATCTGTGATAGTTCCTAGTGATCAAAGAATATCTCTGTGACATTTCTGCCACAGATGCAAAACCTAAAATCAATCATATGGAAACATCAAGCAAACTCAAGTTGAGGGGCATTTTATGTTAACATTCTTATAATCTTCAAAAGTGTCAGGTTATAAAAGTCAAATAAAAACTGTTTCAGATTGAAGGAGATTAAAAAGACCTGAAAACCAAATGTAATCCATGATTCTGTTCTAGATTTGGCTTAAAAAGGACATTAATGGGAAAACTGGCAAAATATGAATGGGATCTGAGGATCAAACGGTAGTAATACATCAAGTGTTAATTTCTATATTTTGATGGCTATGTGTGGTTACACAGGATAGTACTTGTCTACAGGAAACAAACACTGAAGTGTTTGGTAGGTGGCAATAGGTCATCAAGTTGCCTGGCACCTTGCCCTCAGATGGTTCAGAAAACAAACCTATTTGTATTGCCCTTACAACTTTTCTGTCAACAGGAGATTTTTGTTTTTGAAACAAACACTGTGCCAACTTCCTTAATATGATAAGACACAAACAATTAAATTCAAAAGACAGTACCACGTGTAACAGAGAAACCTAAGAAGTAGTGACCATCAGGAACAAAACAAGGATGTCTATTTCTTACCACAAATATTTAACATTGCTCTGGTGGTGGCCACTGTCATTAGTCCAGAAAGAAGTAAGTTTGGAAAAAATGAAAATTAATTTAAAAAGATGCATGCACCCCAATGTTCATAACAACACTTCTCACAACAGTCAAGACATGGAAAGAACTCAGTGCCCATCAACAAATGGATAAAGATATGGTGTATATATACATACATCTACAGAGAGAGCAGTATTCCATATATATACATACATACGATACACTGGAATACCACTGTGCCGTAAGAATGACATTCTGCCATTTGCAGTAATATGGATGAACCTGGAAAACATTATGCTTAGGAAAATAAGTCAGAGAATAACAAGTACTGTATGATATCACTTATATGTGAAATTTAAAAAATAATACAAATGAATGTGTATGCAAAACAGAAACAGACTCACAGATATAGAAAACAAACCTGTGGCTACCAAAGGGGAGACAGAGGTAAGTGGGGACGGACAAATTAGGAGAATGGGATTAACAGATACAAACTACATATAAAATAGATAAACAAGACTATATTTTATAGTACAGGAATTACAGTCATTATCTTGTAATAACATAAATGGAGTAAAATCTATAAAAATACTGAACCACTATGTTGTGCATATAAAAATAATATAATACTGTACATCAACTATACTCCAATTAATAAAAATTTATAAATTTATAAATAAAAATTTATAAATTAAAAAAGGAAATAAAATCATATTATTTGCAAATGATTTGACTGGCTATCTGGAAAATCCAAGAAAAAACAGACTATAAACTATTATAAAAATATGGGAATTTCAGTAAAGTAACTACATATAAAAATAATAAATTGAAACCCATGGGCTTCTATAAAAACAACCAGTTAGATGATATAATGAAAGAAAACAACTCCATTTGTAATAACAAAGTGATAAGATTAGAATAAACCTTACAAGAAAAAAATAAGAGGTATACAAAGATTACTTTAAATGCTACTGAAGAGCATAAAAAAAATGACTTGAACAAATGAGAAGCAAAATCGTGTTCTTAAACAAGAAGACTCTGTATTACAATTTTATTTTCCCCTATATTAATCTTATAAAATTATGCAAACCCAATTAAAATACAAATACAATGTTTTTAAAAACATCACACATGATGAGCCTAAAGTACATATGGAAAAATAAATAAGAATAAAAAAATTCCAAAGCTCTGAAATATTTTTTTTTCATTTATTTTTATTAGTTGGAGGTGAATTACTTCACAACATTTCAGTGGGTTTTGTCATACATTGACATGAGTTACATGTATTCCCCATCCCGATCCCCCCTCCCACCTCCCTCTCCACCCGATCCCTCTGGGTCTTCCCAGTGCACCAGGCCCGAGCACTTGTCTCATGCATCCAACCTGGGCTGGTGATCTGTTTCACCCTAGATAATATACATGTTTCGATGCTGTTCTCTTGAAACATCCCACCCTCGCCTTCTCCCAGAGTCCACAAGTCTGTTCTATACATCTGAGTCTCTTTTTCTGTTTTGCATATAGGGTTATCGTTACCATCTTTCTAAATTCCATATATATGTGTTAGTATACTGTAATGGTCTTTATCTTTCTGGCTTACTTCGCTCTGTATAATGGGCTCCAGTTTCATCCATCTCATTAGAACTGATTCAAATGAATTCTTTTTAATGGCTGAGTAATATTCCATGGTGTATATGTACCACAGCTTCCTCATCCATTCGTCTGCTGATGGGCATCTAGGTTGCTTCCATGTCCTGGCTATTATAAACAGTGCTGCGATGAACATTGGGGTGCACGTGTCTCTTTCAGATCTGGTTTCCTCGGTGTGTATGCCCAGAAGTGGGATTGCTGGGTCATATGGCAGTTCTATTTCCAGCTTTTTAAGAAA